GACCTGATACACAAGTACAAAACGTTTTAATTGAGATACGCGTACCTAAGCTGATTGCCATTATGTTCATATTTATATGATTGGTTTTTGGATAAATTAATATTTCATTAAATATATACATAATATACTCGTACATATGTATGATCGATATAAATTGTATTAGTAGTTATGATATTACATATTCATACAAAATTCCAGTGGTCTCTAATTTGTAAATGTCGCATAAAATATCAGAAACTAATATTAAATATTGAGTTTTTAAGTACGAAAACTATGATTTACGGATATTATATATTTAAATTATAGTCAATATTAATTTGTCATTATATTATCATATTATATATGTGATATATAAGTAGGTACATAGTTTTACGTAATCATATTATTGTATACCAAATAGCAGTTTCATAGTGTTGTGTAAAAACTAAGAAATTCCGGTGAGTCGCTATACAGTGAAATAAAAAACTAGAGAAGGTTAATTTAAAATAAATGTTTTATCACAACATTTCATGTACTTTCCCTCTCGGATCTAATGTGATAATAATATGCAAAAAAATATCCATAAATTACTAGCTTTTTTTTTGTTCTTATACATTGCACAGCGACCTTGTGGTTTTTACCGTTATAATATTATAATATAAATACTTTATAGTTTAGTAAAAAAAAAAAACAAAACAAAAAACTCAGATCCTTCCTATGGACTGTATTAATATTATACTTTGATATTGGAACACACACATATTTTTATTTTTTATTTTGCCATGCCACTGCAGTGGTGATAATATGAATTAGATTTATTATATAGATTAGAGAAACCAACCGCAAACAATTACACGAATAACTATTACATTATATATTAGCACAGTAAATTCATAATAATCAGAATGGTATCTAATAATATATAGCTTGCTGAATATGTACAAGATTTTTTTTTTAGTGTTGCCCAAAATTGAATTAAACGTTACGAACTCAGTCTATAAATGCATTCATGAATATAATGTATCAAGCAGGGGTGGACCCAGGGGGGGATTTGGGAGATCGACTGACCCACAGTTTTTTTCTGAGATTAACGTGGCCCCTCAAAATGACAAACTACATAAAAAAATTTTTACTTGAAAAAAATATATACAATAATCAATCTAAAAATTAAATTATATAATAATACTTTTTTAAATGTACACAGGCTCAAGAATGTTCCTATAAAAATTTAATTGTGATGTTTAAGTATAGAAATAGTAAACATAAAATGTATATGTATATTATAAATTATGGTGTATTATAGACCTGAAAACTGAATATTAAAGTATCAATAACGTGTATGAAATCGTGCTTTAACTCATCAACTTAAATAATGAACCTAAATCGGAAAACACAATACATGTGGCTGTGATACGAAAATACGGCAATAGGGGTCTTTACAAAATATAACCAACACTGTTGCTTATATAAATATCAAATATTACATAATAGTACTTGAAATTTTTTAACCATTAAATATATTATTATATACAAATATGATGATATGCAAATTATATTAATTCAACCAACCGGCTACCGTTTTAATAAAAATATTATAAATATAGTATAAAATGTCCTAAACTGACAAATCGTCTTCGCTCAGAATTAATTAATGCATTATTTTTTGTATTGGATTAGAATCTAGAACCAAATTCTCTAGATCGCATATCTATTGTAAAATTGAAAGCAGTCATTAAAAACTAAATTAAAATAAATACACCTCAAATAAATGAATACAAATAAAATAGTAAATATGTATAATCCCCTATTCTTAAAATTATTTAAATACTCCAGATAAATGTATTAATTGAATATACATTTTAATGCAACAATTAATTGATAATACCTAAAGTTTGTAAGTTTAAAATTTTATATAGTTATATTGAATGTTGGTATAAAAATGTGATATAAATACCTAACTAATAAGGATAATCACGAGCGCAGCCAGCTACTTTGTAATACATAGTTGGTTAAAGTTTATATTCAGTGGCCTCTCGTAAATAAGGCAGACCTACAGTAATAAAACCCTGGGTACACCACTGGTATGAAGTATTATATTATGTTGAATTGTCATTGAAATACTATTATGTATATTATTTATATATATATATTAATATGTCTTATCAATACTTATGTATAATGTCAAATGTGTAAAAATACTATGTTAAATTCGATAAAACTAATTCCTTGTTTTAGTAGTTGTATTTATTGATTTATACTCGTGTACATTAATACCTATTGAACAAAATTTAATTTCAAATAAAATTAAAACATCTTAACTGAAAATTACTCTATGTAAATATTTTATTTTAAGTAAAAATTATTTCTATGAATATTTTTATAAAAAATTTAATTGATTACCAACCCGAATTCGGCGATGACCAATAATAAAACATATAAGATTAACGACATTTTAAATTAAAATAGGTATAAGTACCTACATAATATAAGGTATTATTGATTAATTATTATACCTAATATGTAGTTTATAAGAACTCAATTAAAATAAGAATAATGATACAATTTTTGGCCAAGAATGAAAATTTACATACTATCAAAAAATATATGTACAACAAATATAGTATACATTTTAGTGCACTTATCAGTGACATTTTTAACGTGTTGCACAATTGAAGTTTACAAATAATTACCCAGGTAGAACGGCGACACGTAAATTTAACCACTTTTCACGGTTTATTTCATTCTATGCAGTTGAACAATATGGAAATTCATCCACTTGATAAAAAAATAAAAAAAAATAATAATTTTGTCAACCTAGCTTTCATTTCTTTCTTCACTTTAACAGTTATACTAACTATACAATCACAATAGCTCTTAATATTATAGTGTAGTAACTAGTAAGACATTTTACGAACTATTATTAAAGCTATTTTAGATAGATACAACATGAAATTTGAAATAAATACATTTTTAGAAGTCAAATCAAATATTATAATCAATGTTTTGTTCTCATATACGAGTGTATCAGATGTAGAAAAAACCGAATCTGTAATATAGTGAGAACATAAACATATATCGGTAGCATAGTCACGATTCTATCACCGTTTCCAACACATGATTTATGTCTACTATACAGTAACGTATGATTATGGAGGACGGACCGGGGGATTACGAATGTTATTGAATTTTACCGAAACCCCATCAACCCTGTATATACATTATATACGATTTTGTAAGTATTTGTTTGTGTATAACGCCGAGGAAATAAAAAATAATAATCAAATAGCCGAATGGAGACTTTAACGACTATTTGTACCAAAGGAAACAATATGATTCCCAAGGATCCGGCATTCGTCAAGGTATCAATTATTATTGTCAGATTATAGTCGAAAACATTGTTAACGGGGTCTAAATATTTTCATCTCACTTTTTATTCTATTTTAATGATGTTGCCTACAAAACAAAAAAAAACTCGTTAACGTTCAGCATAATACATGTATGATATTGCAATGGCGAGATTTATTACACATAGGTATAACACCTGTTAGATATTATATACCTATATATAGCTGTTATGCATACTTATATATTCATTGTTGCTTTTTTTTAACTGCGTCTATACATAACATCATTTTAAACCCTGTATTATTCAATGTTTACAGTATCTCTGATCTTTAATAAGTATTTGATATCGTTTTACAGAGCACACAACAGTGGGCACGTTAACTTGGTCACAGACGGTGTAATATTTCGTATTGACTTATTTTTTTTATCAATAATAAACATACACGCACACACGCACTCCAAACACCGCGATGTCTATTGGGTCAAACCGCATTTTCCGGTGTTCAATAGGGTCTCTATAGGGGCCTTAGATTTCAGTGTCAAATTTATAACCTCTCACACAAAAAAAAAATACAACACGTAAGCGTGAGAAAATTTTGACAACTAACAAGCATCGTTCAAGTTAATTTTTTTTAGCCAGTAGCAATTATTTTATTTATACACTTAATTTTTAGAGAAAACATAAACACATATTTTATTATGATATAAATAATATATATCCACCTTGTATTACATAAAAACTACTAAATAGTATATCTTTAACTTAAAGTTTTAAAGTTACAAACTCATTTTTAATGGTATAAATATGTTAAACTTTAAAGTAAAACCTTAAAAATATGTATGTAAATTACCATAAAATTTTTAAATTTGACATAAATATAATAGAGGAAATAATAACCACTTGAGTGAGAATAGGACACACTCATCTAACTCATATTCGTAACTTATTATTTTCCAAAATACCCGTACCTACGTGAGATGTAACTCATGTTGTTATATATAAATAAAACCTTATAAACAAGTTCATAATGATCAACTACCCTAAATATATTGAATCTTATTAAATCTTTAACAGTCTAACATCTTTACAATAAATACTCAATAAGAAAATTCTTAAATTATTTATTTATCTTCAACAAAATAAACTAATTAAACTTGAAATTGTAAAAAATTATTAGATTTAAGAAGCTATAACTTGTATTTAACTTTAATTAAAAATAGATTAATAACTATTGATGTTAACGTTTAAAAAAAAAAAAACAAAAAATAAATTATTTGTAATCAATGAATAATGATCAATTCAGTAGAATTAAAAATGTAAATCTTTAAATAATATGATAAGCACAGAAACAAGTGGTTTTGAAATACATATACTCTTTTTTCTTTCTGTGGACAAACAGTTTCATTCATTCTAACGTTTGATTACTTTTATCCATTCATTTATATGCAGCACACAGATGTTCTACACATTTTAGGTAAACCAGAACCATGGTTAATCATGTTAAAAAAAAGCTACCGGCAGCTCCTTAAATTCTGCGGTGTACCTCAGAGCTGCGGTCTGCCCTGTATATATTGTGCGGTCGTCATCGGGTTCACTATATGTATTACATTCGAGCGGCATACTTTTGATGCATTTTTTAACCAAAATAAAATCAATATTAAAACATATGTCTTACCTTGATTGTTTGTTGACCGATACGATTGTTCGAGAACGGGTGATTCTTCGGTCTTTACCCGACGATATGTATCCAACTCCCGTAAATGATTAGAAAACGATGCATTCTCCATAAAGGGCCTCGGTCCGAGGCCCAATCCACGAAACTGATGAGGGGGACCTTGGTGTACAGGAAAAACAAAAAGCACAAAATTTCTAATATAAATATGAACATTTTTAAATGTAGTTAATTATTTTAAAATATTTTACTTTATATAATTAATATATTTTAAAAGTATAATTTATTCGTTAATATCTCTACTATAAGTTAAAGTTACCATATTACGATTTCTCAAAACCAGGACATGTTAAAAAAAATAATAATAACAAACTATGCTTAATTTAGATCTAGAAATTTTATCTAACCTTCTAACTCATCTCTTACCATATTATCCTTCCATCACTTAACAGGTAATAAAATCTAGTTCATATAATTGTATAAATAATAAACTACCAAGGGAAATTGCAGGAAACTAAAATAAAACAAAATTAACATATCATTGAGTAATATTAGACAAATAGCTTGTTAATAATAAATAGTGTAGAAACGATCTATTTTTGACGATTACGTATTTATGTTTAATATATTACCTAAGACAATTTATATTCATCAATCTTTTTTTATTCATTTAATAAAAATCAGCATTTTAAAAACTATACATTTTATCCGGGAAAATTTACATTCCAAGATCTCTGTTTAGAATACCAGGACATGTCACAAAACCGGTAGTGTTCCAGCCACGATTTAAGATACACTTTAAATCAATAAATATATCTTTAATCGTGATCCCGGCAAATCCGGAACATATGGCCTCCTTACTTTAAGCTTACTTTATGGTTTCAATATCATGTATAAGACCGAAATACAAATTAAAATTGGTTTTTCTATCATATCTACTTTAGTTCTGCAGAAAATCGCACTCCTCAATTAAAGCATTTTAAAACAGACTGAATATTACAAAATATGAATTGATATTAAAGTATTTATTAATATATTCCTATCCTCTTATTTAATAATAATAAGATTAGTAATACATATATACTATACATAATATTAACTATATTATTTGTAATGTAATATTAACTTTATGAAGATAAAATTGTGAACTATTTTAGTATATATATGAATAAATGATAACTAAATTTAGTATAAGTTTAGAAAATATAGTCTTATTTTAATTCATCACTAGTGGTTCCCACGGATGTTAGTGGTCGAGATAAAATATATAATATATATTGTATAATGATATAAAAAACGTTCAGCATGTTTTGCCGAAATGCAAAAAAAATATTTATCGTCAACTGATAAAAATATATAGCATATTGGTTCTCATAGATTAAAACAAAATATATTTACATGCACATATATATTTGATTGTCATTTGTCCTATCGATTAACTTTATTATTATTATTTTTTTTTTATTACAAACCCACCGATCACGTTCTAAATAGTAAAGCGGCTCAAATTGGTCTGCGTGTTTAAATAATATTTATAATAATTATAATAATTGAGCCTTTTTACAGTTGTAAAAACTACCCGGAGGTCTGCCACATGGTTTTCCGGAACCCATTCACATCAAAGTCACGCTTTTTGGTGTTATTGTTATAGCCACCGATATCAATAAAATATGGATACACATATAAATGAAATTAAATGGAGTTAAGCTGAACATAATTAAGGGAAGTCAAGACTACATGAGTATAAAAACTCTTTATATGGATAATAGTTTTATTTTTTTATTATTATTATTATTATTATTATTATTATTATTGTATTACAAACACATGTTATCTTATAAAGTATTCAATTTCCGCAATTTAAATAAAAGCAATATTAAAACATAAACAAAAGCATATACCCGTTAAGTATTTACTACGTAAGTCTCCAACTTATAGTTATAAATAAATTTATCTATAGTTAAAACGAATTTTATCTTTCAACATTAAGATACTTACGAGATTTTGATCGTGGCTCTCGAGGTCCGTCCACAGTAACTTTGATTGCTTTATTGTACGTTGCTACTTGAGGTGGACATGTTGAAACTGTAATAGTGATAGTGAAACTTTTCCCTAAAAATTAATAAATATTATTTTAAAATAAATTGTCATTAAAAATATACCTATTTTATTTTCTAAAATCTTTATTGATCAAAGCTAGATTAATAAAACTGGCTCGCTCGCTCATGGCTTTACGAATATAAGACAATAATCCTACTTCTCATAAAATATATTATTAAATATTAAATCTATGCCGATAATTATTCGTAAACATAATATTATAAGTAATAAATGTGTATACAGTATCTATTTATCTAATTTATATTTTATATTTAAATCATAATTACATATATGCCCTTATCATTAAGTTCAAGAAACGATAACTCATGAAAAATTTAAAAAATAAAAATATAAAGTTGAAAAATGAGTTTAGCATTTAAGATATAATCGTAGCTAACCGTATCTTTTACTTAAAACTTAATCTTCATATTATGATTATTTATTAAATAAAATAATAAATGTACAAAGGTGGTTGATATATTGTACACAATATATACAAATATATAACGTAACACATATAAATAAATTCATTTTTACGGGTTTAAATTTTATATGGGACATGACCATGATATTTATGACTCATTCAATATACTACTTACATATATGACACACACAATTTTTTCATAATAGTAATATTATTACAGAAGAAAAAAAATAGTAAAAATGGCGCCAGAAAAGTAATAATCAAATCAAATGCCTGTCACCATCAATTATTTTATATTATATTTGATTTAGTTTTTAAACAATTAACTGTTTGATCATTAAACTCTACAAGTTATAACTATGTTATATATAACAACTGTTTATACATAAACACATGTATGTTATATTTAATATAATAATAACGTATAAAAATTGTTATTACTTACAGTGGTTAAACTGAGGAGGAACATTGAGGGACAGAGTACGCCTTCTTTTTTAAAAATATTTTTATTATGCCCATTATAATCATAATTAATCAACAAGAAATTTTAATCTAAGAGTACACAATGTATTTTATATTTTTGTATCCCTCTCTATTTTTTTTTTTTTAATTCAAACACTAATTTGCCGTTTATTTATTTTAAAACGTTCTTAATTTCAAAAATACTAGATCCAATTCAGAGACCAAGTTCTTTTTATTCGGCACATAATACAGAAATGTGGTGTATTACTATGTATTATATTCATTCTAAAAGCAATGATAGCTCAGTAATTAATTATCATTACATCAAGAATAATTCTTAGAAATTAGTAAAGCTTTATTAAAATTACACTTTCTAATAGTTTTGTAGTTGTTTCTGTTCAATAGTTTTCATCATTTCTTAACCTAATCTACTCCTCTTAAGAAAATAACTAAGCACATAAAAAAATTATATTTTTATAATTAACTATGTGGGTGATATATTTTAAAGTGAATTCAATACATAGAGCACAAGTTTTTTACTAGAAATCATAAGTCTAAAAAACATATAAGAAATATTTAAAAATAACTGTATTTTCGATCAGAATTTAAAAGAGTAAAATTTATTGCTTGATATTACTATAATGTAGGTATTCAAAATTTCAAAACATAATTAATATTATTAATATTTACTTGATATCTAATTTTTAAATATTTTTAAGTGAAGTAACAAGTTTACACCTCATTACCAATAACAAAATAATGTTAAATTATGATTTTCGGACTTAAAACTTGTCTTTAATTATAATTCATGAAAAATCACATTCAAACATTATTTAACCATACTAAATTTTAAACATTATAAAATAGTACATTTTTGATAATTTAATCACTATTATGTTGCTTGAGTTTTGCTGGTAGTTATATATAAGTATTTCTTGTATCTGCGCTATCCGTGTGTAATATACCACAGCAGTAGAATTATAGAAAGGTCGAGGTAACACGTGATATGACGATTTACTCACCAAGACACGTCATCTGCAGTTTAACTAATTAATTGCAGGATCAAGGGAGATAATGGATGAATCATATATAATTATAATTTGTGTGTAAGCCGCAGTTTCTGTTGCACATTCTGCTATAGTAGGATTACGCGTATAACTTACTGTAAGTAGCTTTGAATATCAAATAATTGAATACGAATTTAATTTCAATACAAGGTATTGTTTTCATACATACATATACAATTTTCTGTTTCTATGTGTTGTATATAGAATATTATAATTTATAATCATAATTCGTAGCAATATAATATACATAAACTGACCCCAACCATATGTATTAAATAGTAAGAAGGATAATCATTAAATTTAAAAAAAAAAATATTTAGTCTTGCATTTTTTGTATGGAAACGTCAATAATACAACATTATAACATTTATAGTTAGTTATTAGTTATTACTATTACAAATACATACACGCAGTATAAATCACGACGGGCCTGCGCATATTGCAACCACAAAGTCCTGTCAAATGTGCAATACATCAATAGGCGAGTTTTTCTACCTTTCCCCTGTGTATTTGCTGTCATCAAAGTAATTGCACGCGTCCAGCAAAGGAAGATGAGCGTTGCCATCAAAGAGCGGCGTAAATTAATATTATAATATAGTGTCGAAATGTGTCCGAGTAATTGTACATAAATGATGATAAAAGAGATTTAGGGCGACAGTTATTGCAAATTGATTTTTTTGTTTTTGCATCTTCTGGTAGGAAATAAAAAAATCATAACGTCTATAGTTTCCAAAGAAAAAATAAAAACATCTTTAACCCACCATCTGATAGCGCCGCGAGGGCTCACATGAAGTGATGTGTCGGCGAAAAAGCACAAGAACAAAGACTCTTTGTCCTTTGTCTCAGTACTTTTAAGGATGTTAAATGACATTAGGTTAAGTTTCAGGCCATGGTTTAATTACTTGCAATCGTATAATATTATGCATTAAACGAAATACCCAAAATGATATCACAAAAACCACACAAAAAAGAAAAATAAATGAAGACATGCATTGCAGTGCACTTGTAAGTATAATATTTATTCAGCATTAAACCCAGCTATAGCTAATATCGGTACAAATATTTAAAAAATGTTTGTACATATTTAAATATTATTTTGTTTATAAATTATCTAATTTATTTCTTTTTATGTATTAATGTTGTATGCGAGTGTGTATACCTAATATGATTACTTGTATACTCGTATATAAAAATTATTATCGTTTTATTATGTTGTATGTATGAGATTTAGTAATTACCAATAAATCTTAAATAATCATTTAATATGTTCAGGCTATAGACAACGCAAACGCATTTAAGTGTAAAATAAAGATGTTTTTATGAGATTTTATGTAAACAGAAACTATTTGGAACTTAATCACATATTTAAAATAGAAATCTATAATTTTTACAAACACTTGCAAAAATTACTGTGAATATTTGTATACGATATTTAACATTTCCAATTCCGCGTTAAATCTTTACCATTAATAACTGTTTAATATGAAGATAAATAAGTTACACGAATAACTACAGAGTTAATAAAAAAAATGTTCAGTAATTTAGTATAATATTACACTAGGGTGACCACACGTCCCGTTTAAAATAGGATTGTCCCATTATCCCGACAAACTCCAAACGGGACGCTTTTTATTTCGTTTTTAAAAGATGGTATCGTTTTAATCCCATTATTTCCATATTATAAAAATATAAAATAATGTTTATAAAAAAAATATCTATGTATTATAAAAATATAAAACAATTTTAAAAAGAACAACATATTATAATTATTAAGTATTATTATTTTATTATTTTAGTAAATTGTAACTTAAATATAAAAATAAATAATTATCATATTAATAAAAAATTGTTTATCCCACTTTTTTATTTTTATAAAAATAATTACCCTATATTACACCCATATTTGTTAAATTGAATACATCTTTAAGTTAAAAAAAAAAAAATCAATTTGATTATCAATTTTCATATAACACTATATTATACGTTCGATTAAATTAGTTCTAATAGACTTTTAAGTTATCTCAGTTACCTAGGTCATAAGAATTTCTTTTTTTAATAAATTTACTCTTTTATATTAAAGCACGTGAAACAAAACAATAAATGAATGCGTCTTAACATATAATCTATACAAAATAATTAAAATTTGCTAAAAACTTAATTTCTATTCCTGAAATGCTAAACATATTAGTCTGTGAGTGTTAAACATAACTTTTTATGAGTTTCCCTTTAAATAATTTAGCCATTGTAGATTATACAGTAAGAATAGATATTAAAATCATTCATAAATCATAATCAAGTAAATTTTATCATTATTGATCACTGTATAATATTACACAATAGATATTTTTAATTCGTCAAGTATATATAATAATACACAATATTTAATTGTATACGTATTATATAATAATTCTGAATAATTTTTCTATGAATTTATTAATAGAGTTTATATGGGACAAAAGTTAAAAAAAGTTGGAAAATTTAAATGGATTTATAGGGATAACACGCTTTATAAATTCATTCTACTCACAAAAATAAGGACTGTGTTTCTAATGTAATACTTATCGACTTATCCTTAATACTTTGATAAAAGGACGAGTACAATGTTTATCTATATGAAAATTTACTCTTACGCGCGATGATTATACTTATATCAAAAATCGTTTGATTAAAATTAATAAAAGAATAGTCTATTTAAACATCGTACAGAAACCGAGTGTTCGAAAATACGCGTGTTCTGTATATTTAAATGAATAATCGAATAGTCTTAAAACAATCATAATTTGAACATATACAAAGATTTCATCATACAAATAAAGGAATGTGTACTTATAAAAATCTCTATCGTGTGTAAAACAATGTTAAAGGTTAAAGCACTCCCGGATATTTTCTTCCCGTGCAAATGTGCAATAACAAAATGAGCGAAGTTCCTACATAATAATTCAATTTTTTTTGAAAATCTAGAAAACTCGCTCTGCAGTATGTATAGTAGACTTGAATAATGTATCTCGTAATTTGCAAGCAATTACTCAATGAATGTATTGCATTTTAATTCAATGTAAATAAATAAAATATAATCAATTGTACAAAAATCAGTAGATGTATATTTCTATAAAAAGACTGTTTATGTTGTATTAATATTAACATACCTATTTTTAATTTGGTAGGTTGATCTTATTTTTATTATAAGCATCACATATAGCTTGTATATTATAAAGTAATAAGTACTTCCGCATCTAAAACTATGTTAATACATTAGCGTTACATTTTTTTACGTAATTTTATGTGAGAAACATATTTATTAAATCCAAATTATACCTAATCTAAATATTAAAAAAGATTCATTGTAAATATAATATACGTAATTTCGAATAGTTTCAAACCTCAAAAATGAATATTTTTTTTGCAATTAGAGATAAAATGTTTAGCTTTTTAATAATTATATGAAAAGTTCTGAAGATTTCTTTCTGTTGACCTTAAATAGGCAATTAGATCAATTTTTTTACCATAAATCACCCTTCATGTTGAAGATTAACGCAAATCGTTTTAGTCCAAAACATAATGGCAGACATGCAGAAAAAAAACACATTATTCTAAAACTCAATTTGCTCAGAATTTAATACAATTTTAACACATCATATTACATATTATAAGACCTTTTTGTGATATTACTTATATAATGAAAGTTTGATATTCATCTTTATGAGGAATATTGACTTAATAATTGAAATCGTTCTTGTTTAGATATCTTAAAACCAAAAAAATCGTTCAATAACAATACAATATCTAAGTACCTACAAAAACAGTCTACTGCAAGAGCCTACTGAACAGTTAATTTGTCATCACTTGGAGGGATTTCGCCCCCTTACTCATCGTTGCGTACAAGGGGCAAATTTCCAAGAGAGGTTTTTCATTATATCCACAATATAACTATTATAATATTATAATCGGTATGTATATATTATACATAAATTAATGCGCGTTACCTCGTCCACTGCGCCCGACGAACCTCAAGTCGTTGAACTTGGCGATTTGGTTCTTGACCAGGGCGGAACAGTTGCGCAGCTCGGCCGAACAGTTCTCGTCGTTTCCGGCTTTGAGCGTGACGGCCGTGCCGTCCGGCACCTCGGACAATATGACCACCTTGAACGCGCCGGGCAGCGTCTTGTTAGACCGCCAATGCGTGGGCAGGGCGCTGCACAGCATGTACGGACATCCGGTGCGGACCAGCTCGCCCGGGTGCTCGGCAGTCACCTCGTTGACAGCCGCCTCGGTCCACCACAAATCTTCGGACGGCGGCGAGCACGACGACGACGACGACGAGGCGGTGGCCGCGCCTTGCTGGTCCGCCGACGAAGGGCCTCGACGCCTCTTCTTGCTGTGGTCCGACGTCATCCGCACCAAGCGCATATCTCGGCTACTGCGGCGATAGCGGGGAAATTCGCGACGGTTTTTTAAATGCGTTATTATAATGTTTTTTAGCGGGCCAATCGCGGGTAGATTTAAGTTTCGCGTGACGATTTGAAATTATAATACACCAATATTTAAAATTATATCGTCTCGTCGATGTCGGATTTGCAACGCAGTTATTTCGGTCGGTTTTTATTCGATTCGTTTACCGCGGGATGACATTGCGCCCGACGTTACAATGTGTTTCGATCGCATCGTGCGCGTCCGGACCGCGGATATGAGCCGACTGCTACTACTACTGCTGCGGGGACGGACGGTCCACAGACGCCCGCTCAACGACGTACAGCTCGACGCGCCCGCCGACGAGAGGCGCGAGCGTTTCGACGTCTCCCACCAACGGACGTTCGCAGACACTCCCATCGGTCACTCCCACTATATATAATATAATATTGTATTCATCCCGCCGTCCGTTCTGCAAAGTACTAGGCATGCTCAGGTACCTTGCAAACAGGTGTGATAATTTAATATTATATAAAATCTTTGGTGCTCGCATATTCAATATAATAATATTAATAAATTATAATCAGGGTTAATAAGTTCGTGCGTGCTGAAAAATGAATACCCTATAGATACCTGCAATACTTGAAACATCCACTAAAACATCTATGTAGGGATGATAGTGATACACAAAGCTGAGGACTAGCTAATTATAATTAAAAACTTATAAATAATTGGATTCGATTGTTAATAACTTTCTAATTTGACTTTCTAACTTGTAGAGTAATTTTTTTTTACTACAAAAATCTCAACGTCCCGTAAAACATAGAACTGCCTAACGCTCATAGTGCTAACTGAACTATTATTAACACTGTATATTTTGTGATATAATAATTACATTATTTATCATTTTATTTCTTATCAATCCCTTGTATTTCTTATATAATGCAAATTTTAAACCACTTGTTATTATAGCTATATAATAGATATAAATAATTAGTACCTATCATAAATCCTAATTATTAATTTATTTTTGTATAATACTTAACACTTAAAAAATCGGTTTTTTGAATTTATATTTTAAGCTACAAAAAAAATACATTCTATTCTAACTATTCAATGTTTATTTACCAAGTAGTATTTCACTGAGTAAAAATTTGGAAAATTTTAGGAGCTAACTTAAATTCTAACTCAATTAAATTTTATTTTATAGTAACTTAACTTCAACTAGTTAAAAAAATAACTAATCTGCCCAGCTTTGAATTATATAGCGTATTATAAATAATTTTAAACTGCCGACTATAATGATAATGTGTATATATGTATATACAACATACCTACGTAGATATGGTTATCCTGCTAATTTCTTTAGATGTCAAGTATATTATTAAATACGACTGTGTAAGATATATAATGACATGCAATCCTATGAACTAATAAACAATAAAATACATAAGTATTGTCTAAGAGTATACGAGTCCGTACAACTTGAACAGTAAAATGTAACTTTTTACTATACTTCTATGAAAATATAACGTATATAAAAACTTCAGTGGCACCATAAGAATACTCTTTATACTTCTTGCAATGCGCACACATATTATTACAAATTTAATTTTACATTTATGAATAAATAATATGTCAATGATTGAGATGGACCGAATGCAAGAATTATATATTAATAATGAGTGGTACTTACAGTCTTCAAGTGAAAGATAAATAGTACCATTTGTAATAATATAATGTCTTCATAAGGAAATACTAATATATTATTTTATAACTATTTTAATAGTTTCTTACATATATTATGGCCTATAGAATATAAATTATTTCAATTTTTTATATATACGCACAACAAAAATATATATAGTTGGGTACCCAGCCCTGAAATGGTTATTTTCCGGGAAGAGAATTCATTAAATAATTCTATCATTATTTATAAAAAAAAAAAAACCGCAATAAATATTATAAATACATACCTTCTAAATAACCATCAAATTGACAACAGCATGGCACCGTAATATACAACCCGGATGCGCGCCGATTTTACACTCTATCGATGCGGCTTCGTGACGTCCGACATGATCATTAATCAATGACCAAATGATCTTCATTCTTTAAAGTATATCGATCGACGAATGACTATCAGTATTTTAAATAAATAAGTATATAGGTTAAGATATTATCATTTATTATAGGTAAGCTTATTTTTATGTTTAATATATTTATATATTATGTGAAGGTATATAACTTTCGTTTTCATTTTAAATTCTAAATGAATATTACAATGATGTGTTTTTATTTTTTTTTTTTTATCACCTTTTGAAGCTATAAAAATGCTTCAATTTTCAACCTTGAAGATTATTTCTGGTAAAAATATGAACTATAAACTATAGATAAATAAAATAATTTTAGATCAAAAATAAAAAATACTCAAAACTTTTTAAAATAACAAAAAAGAAATCAAGGAAAAATGAGAATTTTCACCCAAAACCAGTTTTTAACAAAATTAATTTTTTTTTTTTTGATGTACCTAACTCAAAAATCTATTACCATAGAGTATAGAAACTTGACATTTTCATTGATTATTCATATTAACGTATTCTATGAAATACAACTAATTTTTTACATACATAAATATATATATATATATATATATATATATGTATGTATGTATGTATGACCTTGAACAATAAAATGTACAACGGACATACGTAATTTTTTTTGAAAATATTTAAATAACCTAATGGTATTATCGAATTATTTTATAGTTATGATGTTTATGTCTATAATGCGAATGTATGATTCGAATGTGTTTAAAGATTAGATATTCAATTCTATTTCATAGTTATGAAAGAAACTCACCTGGGCCCAACATACGCGTGTAGAAAGATTACAACTAAACCTCCGACTTCGTATGCTTAAAACTTTGCTAATTAATGACAAACATACAAATCTAAAAACAAAACTACTAATGTTATATAAATCCCTCATCAAATCCATTTGGACTTATGGTCTCAAACTCTGGGGAATACTAAAAAATCAAATCTAAATCGTATTCAGGCTTTTCAAAATATTGCATTAAGAAAATTAACAAACTCTCCCTCTTATGTTTCTAATCATACCCTTCACTCAGACCTGAAAATTAAAACTGTAAAAGAAGAAGCAGTAACTCATTATAAAAGATTCCATAATCGACTTGCAACTCATTCCAATCCTCTTATTCAAGCTCTGTCATCAAATTGTATTCCGGGTAATCCTCCGGGGCGCTTAAAACGCAACTGGTGTAGATATGTTGACTTAAAAAAAATAAATAAATAAATATAAAAATTTATATATATGTAAAAATTAATGTATAACCTTACTTAAAAGTTTCATTACTGAGTGGCTGCTTGCATCAAGATTTTCATGTATTATAATATTTATTTTAGCCACTACTTTTATTGTACCCTTGAGGTACGGATTGTGTATATAACAATAAAGGAAAAAAAAGTTATGGAGGACAGTATACCTACCTACTTTTATTTATTATTTCCAATCTGTAATATATTATTACTCTCATAATATGTGTCAAATTGACAACTGTCAATGCTCATATGCCTCATATAGTGGCGAGAGGTATCGGCTCTGATCTGCCACAGTTCGTATAGTTATAGTCAATCTACTTGATCAAGCTTTGATGTTATTATTAAATTTATAAACACATAGGTATTATCCATGATTAAACTAAATAATAATTTATAAATTTAAGTTTCTATGACTATTTGGCCCTTTTTATTCAGAAGTCATCTGATACTATTATTAGGCTGTTATATAACTTATTGTGTTTCACAATGTTATAGATTATTTATTTTTAAAATAATATTTTTTAAAAATTCTTTTAAAATACACTTTATAAAAATAGCATTGGAACATCTGGATTTGTTAAAAAATTAACAAATAAAATAAAAATATGCATTATATAATAATATAATATATAAATAAACTATAAAAATAAAAAAATAAAACAACCTGCAGCTAAGTGTCACTAATTGGTAGCTTCTTATTCCAAGTATTCAATATTTATTTATTTATTTGTTATTTCATCACTCATCATATACTTTTTTATGCTAAATAGTACAAATTGTGAATATCTTCATAAAAATTTAAAAAATTATAAATTGAAAATTTTTTTATTGATTTTAAAAATTCCGTACATTATATTTCAAATATTTAAAAAAAAAATTATTTTATTTATTACAAACATCGTGTAAAGTATAGGGGAACTAAACTCCCTCTAACCTCCACCCAATTGCATTTAGAACAGTATTCTAAATGACTTGTTTGAATTCTAACTTATAAATATAATAACATTTTCAAAAATGTCATATATTTAATAATTTACAAGAAAAACATTAATTCTCAGTTGAAAAAAACTGGTATCGCCATTGTACATTATACAAAATCTTAGTACTAGGAAATAAAATCATTAAGTGTATACTTAAAAACTGAATTTCGAAAAATTGTTATTAAATTAAAAAAAGAGTTAGTATACTTGGTGTATCTCTCTGTTTATATTATGGTTCGATATAATGATTCTTATAGTGGAAAATAATCGTTATAAACTTATAACTTATATGTTATGGATACCAGATAGTCAAAGAGTGACTATGGCATTATGTGACTTCCATTTCTTACTAATAACTAATTTATTTCAGCAGTTAGCGCCTTTCCGTGCATGTGAATATGTGATACAATTGTATATATAAATTATAAGATTTTCACTGTGTATAATATATATCATTTAAAAAACAGACTAGGTATATAGTAAAATCTTATGTAATAAATGCATTTTACTTAAAAACAAATATGGAAATTTACCTCTCGCTGAAATATCAGGAAAAATTTTAAAAACACAAACTTAAAAATTATTCCAAAATTCCTACTAATACTTACAAATAAAATAGCTAGATTAAATATAACTTTTGATTTGTAAATTTTTGTTTTAATAAAATTATTAATATATTAAATGAAATGCAGTGAATATGCTATCATATACTCACACCAGTAAATACGTGCTAACACTTAAAACGCCTATAAATAACCGATCAACACCAGTTACATTTAAAATTTTTCGAACCCCCATCCAAAAAATTTTTCTCAAGTTCTCTATTTATATTTGTATTATTATATGTGCTCGTACATTTAGCAAACTTTAATATTTATTGTAATCAATAGCTATATAATAAACCTAATTAAAGAGTATAAAGAAAATCTTAATTGTTTTTGGTTGTATGGTAGGTACTTACAAATTACAATCTATATCATTAAGCTCGGAATAATTTTATTTTAGTTAAAAGTGATAACTTATAATGGCATTTATTTTGTAACAATAAACTTGAAAAATGTATAAAAGTTTGAATTTTAAATACATAACTATATCATTAATTACTAGGTATTCGGAATAGAAACATAGGAATCTATGAAACATTAAGATCCTAATAGTATATAAATATGTGATAAATTAATAAATAGGTAAGTATCCATTTGAATATGTAATACAATATTAAATAGCTAGTTATTAAATAGAGTGACTTATGTACTTTAACAACGTTCAACAGTGTTGAACGGTCATAAAATAATAATTCATTATCTTTATACAAATAATACGGTCCTACCAATAATGTATAATACTTTTTACAATCTTAAATAATTTTAATAATAGGTACTTGTTCATTACACAATATATAGGTATCTAATACTATAATACACGAATACTGAGAGAAATAAGAACCTACTCTATTATAATATTAAAATAATTTGTAAAAAGTCTAATAAACTCAAATCAGTTAAATCATAGACTCAAGGTTGAATATGTATGAAACCAAATTAGTAATTACCAATCATAACCTTAAATATTTACTGATAAACACTAAACAGAATACTAACACCAAAACTAAAAAATAAAAATAAAACTATCTTTTTATAATATTAATAATATTATCACGGTTTAAATAAACTATATTTTAAACCGTATACCTATTGCATTAGGTATATTATTTATATTATTATTAATATATTATTTAAAAAAGGCTAGGTACTGACTAATAAGTAGATATTCTGTATTACAGTGTATTTATTGTTTTTTTATTTATATAAATAATTGTTTATAGATATTTATTAGTTAGTGAATTAAAAATCATTACAATTTAATTGAATTATATATATTATTTAATTTAGTGATCTCCTAGTAAGAAAATGCCCCCGAAACAAAGAAAAATCGCTATAATGGGTTATCGTTCAGTCGGTATGTGATAAAACAAATTAAAACTTATTAAATTAACTAACAAGAGTATCAAGTAAAAATGAACAAATTAATGGTTAAAAATATTTTGTATATAATTATCATTAATTTTTTGTTTAGGTAAATCGTCATTAAGCATTCAGTTTGTTGAAGGTCAGTTTGTCGATTCCTACGATCCAACAATTGAAAACAGTAAGTGTATTTAATCTGGCTTAACTAAACAGAACCACTGAGTTAAATTTTAAGGATTAAACTTAATTTTCCTGAAACATGTTGAGATGGTTTAGAATAGTAAAGGTCTTAAAACTTGGGTGACTAACACTTATCCTTTTTGTCATTGTTTAGCAATATTCTAAAATGATTTATTATTATTATTATAAAAATTATAATTTGAAAACATGATACTTTAAATTTTATTTATTAGTATTTAAATAATTTTAAACTTATTTATTTCCATAGCTTTTGTGAAAACCACCAAAGTAAACAATCAAGAATATGACTTAAAATTAGTTGATACAGCTGGACAAGATGAGTACTCTATATTGCCAACACAGTATTCTATGGACATTCATGGATATGTCTTAGTCTATAGTATTACGTCACCAAAATCTTTTGAAATTATACAAATCATTTATGATAAATTATTAGACATGACAGGCAAAGTACAGTAAGCACCCTTAAGTAGATTTGTATCCGTTTGCCAGTAATGACCCTTATATTTATTTTTTTCTAGTATTCCTGTAGTGTTGGTAGGTAATAAAAAAGATTTACATATGGATCGAGTTGTCACTCAAGAAGAAGGACGAAAGTTAGCTAATTCTTGGAAAGCAGTATTTCTCGAAGCTTCGGCCAAACAGAATGAGGTAACTTCAAAAAAAGTTAGTAGTTAATTTCTTTTATTATTTTAGATTATGAATTTATTTCATTATTATTTTATTGGTTTATTTGTATTATAAAATTTTTCTATTTATAAAAAATATAATAGGTATCACTATATATTAAACTAGTGAGCTATGCTCTATGTTCTATTTAATAATTTATTGATTTACCTTTATTACCAATAATAACCCCTTTTAAATTTTGAAATTTAAAATATTTAAAAATGTTTGTATAACAAAGAAGTAATTTTTTTATTATTGTTTTAGTGTGTAGCTGATATCTTTCATACTATGATAATGGAAATTGAAAAAACAAATGGAAATACTGTTCAAGAAAATAATAAATGCAGTATTTCATGAAAATGTAAAACTATATTAACAATTTATTTATTTGAATTATGATGATTAAAATAATACTAAATAATACTCACGTGTGTTGTTACATGTTCATATAATTTACCATTTAGTTTGTTATTCAACTTTATATTTTTAATATTTCTAAGTTATGTAAATATTTACTAATTCTTTGTTCTAAAATGTATAAAATATAATTTTCTATCTTCCATGTAGAGACTTAATTGTTATTTAACTTATGTATATTTTGTTCAATTGGTGCTAAATTTAAATAAAAAATAGTATGTTTTTATATTACTTAGTGTTTCAAGCAAAATAATTATAGCTTATTTGCTGCAATAATATAATTTAAGAAAATAAATATATTTACATGTATACAAAGTTGACCTTCCAGGTTAGGGATTTAGCTTAGGGTTGACAACCCTAACTTAGAAAAAAATATCATGAAACCTACAACATCAATATACAAAGTAATATATTTTTTCTATGAATTATAAAAATAAAATGTATTGAAAATTTTAATTCAACAATTAATTTAAGGTTATAAAAACAATTAAGAAACAAGAATAGAATTTATGTACTTTCATTGGATAACAGATTATTAGGGTTTAGATGTATACCTCTAAACAAGCTTAACTTATAGGATGTGCTGCAATATTTAAAATTTAATCATTCAATATTTCAACATTTGACTTTTATTGTCAGTTATTACAAGTTACAAAATAATACTTATTAATATATACATCATGATTTTTTTGATTGTTATTTAATAAAATCACATAACCCTTAGCAACAGTAGGCATTGGGATGAATTTATGTATTATTTTTATTCAAATACCTAAATAAAGATCACTTGAAAAAGTGTTATTTGACGATTTAATACCACCATCCATCATGTCAATATGTCATATAGTTTTTTTCTTATACCTAGTACCTTTTAGATTCTAAACAGAATAATGAATATATTGATTTTACAATGATATGAGTATTTTTCATATTTTGGGTAGTAAAAATGACTTAATTTTCAAAAATAGGAGTAGTTATTGATAAAAAGTGGATTTAATTAGTACTTTTTTTTTGGGGGGGGGGGAACTTAAAAGTAAAAGTTTCTAATACTTTTTTTATAATTGGAAAAAAATTAAGGAAAAACTTGAATCTTTACTTAATTTCAATTTTATACAAAATCAATTTGGTTTTTTGATGTAACTTGAAAAAAATTACCACAGATACTTGAAATTTTCACCAAATATTTATATTATAAAGTAATATATTAAAATAGATTTTTTAATCATTTTAACCCTTTTAGTGCTATTTATAAACATGAGAATTTTCAAGATTTTTAATTTCTTTTTAATAAATGTCAATTAAAAATATATTCGCTGAGTAGAAATGTTTGAAAATTTAGTTGGTACAAAGTTCTTCATAAATTGTTTATTTTTGATTTAAGAAATATTGAAAATCTATAGTCATGATGTATTTTTATAAGTGTTTAAAGTTAGAATTTTAAAAAAATTTCAAAAATGTACAAATTATTTTATAATTAGAAATTTTTCATAGCGCTTTTTTGCAAGCTTATGGATAGTCAATAGTTTTTGATTTTACAGATTGTAAATTTGTAAGTTCTCCGTTTATTAATTTTCAATAAAAACATAATATATAATATATATATAGATAACATTAACATATTAAATACTACAGTATATGAACAACCTAGAGAATAGAGATATTACTGATATTAAAATTATTAAGTGGATTAGTGGTTACGTAAAATTGTATCGAAAATAGAAATGGAACCCTGATGACCTGATAGAGCAATTTGAAATTTGAGTAGTAATTCCGAAAGTTAAAAACGTTATTTTTATATAATGGTATATCGTTTTGTGCGGCATTTGGAAAAATATTATAATCTACTATACCAATTGTCTATTAAGCATTTTATATGTTTGTAAAGAAACATTACGATATAGTCACTCAAAATTCAAATTTTATTACAAATCATTGTAAATTTGTAAAAGTAATTAAACTCAAATGAAGCAGTTATTATATAGTATATTGGAAGTGTACATTGTGTTTAATTTGAACTCAACGATAAATCATAAATTGTCCTTAAATATAGGTTTACAAAGAGAAATTCCAATAATAAAAACTTATTCTGCTCTACATTATAGCATTTTATACATATTACGTGTTATATTTTATTGAAAAAATAAATAAAAGCATAACAAAAAATGTAAAAGAAATGTTATGTAAGTAGGTACTAATTTCAATATTTTTATCAATTACATAACACGTAATATATTATGTATTATAATTTGTAATACATTATTATATAATAATAAATGTCTTAAGTTATAACAAAATACGACTAAAAATTGTTAATTAATTGTATTCATTATTCACATTTCCTGTAACACATTATAAACCATTTTATTTATATCAACATTACTTTGAGGCAGAAAATTAATGTTTGGGCTTTAATACATTATGGTCATTACTCATTATATGTATACCTATGTTTAATACAAGAAGTCTTTCTGATGAGCGTCCTAAATTATTTTTGTTCCTAGTCATTTAACCAAAAGCCGAGTGAAATATAAAATAATGTGTTTGATGTTTAACTTACTATTTAAACTTTAAACATTCAACGTTAAGTGTTGAACAGAATTAACAGATTATCATTAATGCCAATCTAAGTGACCACAAATCGAATCTACATTCAAGTATTCAATATCAAATATTCAAATATCAATAGACTACAGCAGTCAGCAGCTGATGAACATCGAAGCATCGAACTCGAAATCATACAAACATTACAAACAATACAAACCGTAAATATAATAATATACATTGTAAAGAATTTAAGAATCGCAGGTTCGTTTTCTGAAAAGAAAAATAACCACAAGTCGGTTTCTTTTCCATGAAACGTCGTCAATGTGTTTTGTGAACGAATGTTGGTTGTATAATCTACGTATACTACATAGCCGTGTGCTGTGCTCGTGTAGTAAAATACTCTGCAAATAATCATTAAGCATAGTAATTCACTATTCATTATTCAATTAAAGTTGTATAACACAATATGACATGGTATGGGTGATGGGTCACAAATAAATGAACTGATCACACTCTGAAAAAAATGCCGCCGAAACAAAGAAAAATCGCCATTATGGGCTATCGTTCAGTCGGTAAGTAAAATAAAAATCATATTTTCTTTTATAGTAACAATTATTATTCATCCTTACTCGTAGTATTTAATGAACGTTTCCCGATATTATTTTATTATTAAAAAATTAACTTTATTTGATTTTACAGGTAAGTCGTCGTTGAGCATCCAGTTTGTTGAAGGTCAATTTGTAGATTCTTATGATCCAACAATTGAAAACAGTAAGTTTGTCTGCTATTCAATTGATCAATATTTTAAACTAATAAAAGTCATTGATTGAAAATGTTTTAATATCTTCAGCTTTTGTGAAAACCACTAAAGTTAATAATCAAGAATATGACTTGAAATTAGTCGATACAGCTGGACAAGATGAGTACTCCATATTGCCAACACAGTATTCCATGGACATTCATGGATATGTCTTGGTCTACAGTATAACCTCTCCAAAATCTTTTGAAATCATTCAGATAATTTATGATAAATTATTAGATATGACTGGCAAAGTACAGTGAGTACCTTAGTTTGGTAGTTAATAATTATTAATGAGTTATTCTTTGAGTTTATTATTTATATTTATTTTCTATAGTGTTCCCGTAGTATTGGTAGGTAATAAGAAAGATTTACATATGGATCGAGTTGTTACACAAGAAGAAGGACGGAGGTTAGCAGATTCTTGGAAAGCTGTATTCCTTGAAGCTTCAGCCAAGCAGAACGAGGTAACATCAAAAAAAGTTAGTAGTTAATTTCCTGTATTATTTTATTTTATTAATTTATTTCCTAATCCTATTTAACATTTGTACTGTTTTCTATCCAATTTTATTTTCACCACATAATATTGTCTGTAAGTATTAAAAAAAATATCTTACATATAAAAGATAATTATTAAAAAGCAAAGTAGATATTATTTTTTTATTAAAAAAGTGTTTTTTATTTTTATTTTAGTGTGTTGCTGATATATTTCACACTATGTTAATGGAAATTGAAAAAGCAAATGGGAATACTGTTCAAGAAAATAATAAATGCAGTATATCATGAAAATATATGACTGTTAATTTTTTTAATATTTCCGAAAATGTTAATTTATTTAACTAATGTGAAATTAACATGAAAAATACCACTGAAGCCAGAAATGATTATTGTTTATTTTTAAGTAATTTTTAATTTTAATACAACTAAAATATATATTTATATATGTATCTTCTATCTTTATGCTAAACTATTATTTTACTTAATATATTTTGTAACATATTATGTTTGTTTTATCATTATTTTATACATTCAATTTTAATTTTAATTAGTTTCTAAATTGAATCATTCATTAGTATTGTACAGGGTGGTTCTTTTATTAATATCCTTTATTATTTTAAAATTATTAACTGAGATATAATTTATAATATTGAATATTTTTTATTGCTATTGTTTTCCATATGTTTGTTTACCAAACCATAATTGATTAACAAGTGATTCTTAAATTGCAACCTATATTTTTCTTTTCTTAATTTAAATTCTAATCAAGCTATAATCATACAAATTTGTTTTGATTAACATTTTTAATAAAAACAATAATCAAAATACTTAAACATAATATTTTGATTTAGATTTTGTTATATATATTGAATTTCTAGAGAATCTTTTTTTCATTACATATCGTAAGTTAGATGTGTGAAGTAGTAAACCACACATTTTTAAAGTTTCTGTAATGTTATTGTCACATAATTATTTTTAAATTGAATTTTAATGCTTGTTATTTTTAAATATGTTTGCTTCAGATATTAAAAATAAGGATATAAGTTGCCTTTAAAAATCAATAATTGATTTTCGTTTCTCAAACAAATATAAGGAAAAAGGGCAACATGAAATGTAAAAATTGTGTGTACATGCATTTTTAAATAAATTGATGTTCACTTAAAAGTATCATTTTGTATATTTATTGATAAAGTAATAATTATTATAAATAAAAAAATTGTATTAATTAAGAATGAAATATATGTTTTTTAAGTAATTAATTGTGTTTTATTGGTGCTATGAATATTCTAATATTTAATAGTAACAAAGACAAAAATTGTAAAAGCAAAATCTATCGATTATTTTCATATTTAAAACATGTAAAACTGATTCATTAATACTAATTATTACACTTTATTATGACTAGAGTACTAGACTGTTTAATAAATATTAAGTGTTCAAACTATATGTCATCAGGTATAAAGAATTTTTTTATCACATATTGTAACTAACAAAATATAATTTAAAATTAACCAAGCACATATATGTGTCTTAATTAATCAAACAAGTTGGGTATAACCTAATAGTTTATTTTATCTCAATGAAAGTTTTTATTTAAAAATTCTCATTCATATTTAAACAATCTTCAAGTGGTTCAAGTCTGATTAAGGCCATTAAAAAAGACATGGAGGCAGAGGCGATTAGTGTTTATGTGTATGTGCACTACTGCCACTACCTACCCAAACATAAATCATAATGATACAATCAAGTACCTGTAATGTTATTAAGGTTATATTTCAAAAAATAAAAATTCAGAATATGAAAATAATATAATACCTGAATTGGATTATTTTCTAAGGCCAAACGGCTAGGTAGTTGTTCGCACCAGAACGGTACAGTATCTATGTATAGTAGTACAACAGCGCACATATTTTGTAAAGAGTAAAAATTAAAATAAGTCAGAACACGCGATCACGTTATAATGAAATTGATGTGAACATTCGTTTCAAATGTTTCAATGTTCAAAAATCAAAACCAATTAAATTATTTTCAGCGAATTATTTTTGTTGTTGCGCGTCGTCATTATAATTTATTTTTACTCTCACTCGTTTATATTATATTTTGATTATTAGCTGATAATTTTACTTTCGTAAATTTAAACAACAATCGTATTTCTTTTTTCTTTGTTAATTTGTAAACAATTATTTAATACAATCTATAATATATAAATGTATATTGGTTATATTGTTTTCGGGTGTGCACTATTTTATAAAAAATTTTAATTATTGTATCATAATGTGAATAATAGGCTAGGGTAAAACTAAAGAAATAAAAAATTTCAAGTGTTGAGTAACAAATTTTGAAAGTCAGATTACCATTTGCAGACTTGCAGTACAGTTAACAACAGTATACTGTGAATACACTACTTCGTCGCATTGCAACGCCCGTGATGTTGGCGCGTGCGGCAGATGCAAGTCCGGTCATCATCCCCCTCGCGGTGGCGGCGACGCGACCCTTTCGTCAAAGGGACGTGCGCGTGGTGGGCGGCCGTTAAGCGCATGTGCACCGGGAGGGTTAAAAACGTCAATAGGATAATATGCCGTTCGCAGCAGTGCACATCAGCAGCGTCCTTCCGACTTTCCCGTCGGTTTTAAATTCGGAAAAAGAATAAAAATCTACGGGGAAAACGACAGTGCACACATATCCACATCGAAGGTACCACGATGGTGGAACCGGAAGTTGAAGACGTGGCCTTTCTGACAGCCATCAACCATTACAGTGAGTATATTATACAAAATATTATTTACTCATTTACAAATATGCACACACACACACAAACACACACACACATACAACAATAGGTACGCAACTATGTCGTTTGAATAAGCCTAAATAGCTATTTACGGATTATTATTTTCATGATACAGAAATAGCACATTTTTATGATTTTTATTTTTTTACCAGGAGATAATCAGGACATGATGCACAAGTCTGGGATATACGAACACACAGCCGTGACGGCGTGTTCGCGGAGAACAGCTTTGATCATGGCCGGCACCACTCTATTTCTCATGTTTTTGTGTTCTGTGATTATTGCCTACGCCGGACCTCAAAACGGTTAGTTTTTCACAGCTAAAAATGCATTGATATATCTATTTATTACTATTATATATGCTATTATTTATACAAGCACGATTGCCTATACCTATTAAAATGATGGATACATTTTTAGATTTTACATGATCAATAGACACTTGATAATAATCTATCCACCCCTTCAAATCGGTTTCAATTTATTATACTTTACCTTTTAATTTAGTTGCCGACACTACTATGTTTGGAAACAACGTCAATAATTTTATTTACCGTAGACATGCACGTGGATAAATGTTATTACGTTATATCGTTTAAAATAATAGTAATTTAATATCGCTGTTGCATGTTCCAGTAACAAGTGTTTATTTTTTTCTGTCGAAGTTTAACGATTTGTTTTTTCCTCGGCATATCATATATCTACCTATTTATACTACACTTACAAATATATTATTATATTACCTTTTTAGATTCTGAGCAAAGTTAAATGAACGTATTGGTTTGACAATGATATGTTTATGTTGGTTTTTTGTATCGAAGAAACTGTATAGATATCAGAAACATACTTCAATCTCAATAATTTTGACGATACTTTTTGGTATCAAACTGTATCTAATATACATAATTAATATTTTTATAAGTAAAAAAAAAATTATCCGTACTTTACAAAATAGTCAAAATCAAAAAGTTTGAAAAATTAATATAATAAAGTTCCTCACATTATGTTCTTATAACAATTAAAATATATTGAAAATACGTGGTCAAAATAATTGTTTGAAATGCAATATTAAGATTTTACTTAAATTGTTATTTCTCTTTGAATTTGAAATATCCAATTTTGTCTAATTTAGAACTTCAAATATCTAAAAAAAATTGTACCAATGTATTTTTAGTGTATTATTGACTATTTCCTTTTGAACACTCTAAGAACAAACCATAGCAAAAATACTAAACTTCTATTAAACTACTACTCAGTACCTACACAGTTATAAATATAATATCTTATACTATTATACTATAATAGGTATATTAAATAAAGTACTAATATAAATTGCTTTATATTAGCTTCTCGTTTCTTTTTCTCTTTTTATATTTTTTAATAATTTAATGGCTTTATAAATATTTAACAAACAAATATAATATAAAATCAATAGTATAAATTATACTAACATTACTTCTGTATTTAAAATTTTTTCTAGATTGTCCATGCATTGGCGAAAAGCCAATATTTTTGTCCGACGATGATGGAGTCAATAGATCTCGATCAATTATACCGATTGCCACTAATGGCGATATATTTCCATGGAATAACGTGCGTTTACCAACATTTGCTAGACCCTATAGTTATCACATAAAAATACATCCAAACTTAACCAGCTTAGACGTAAAAGGTATTGATTTTATGAATTAAATTAAATTCTATTTTTAGTAGTATAACGTGAACGATTATATGTTATATAGGCCAAGTATTAATTAACTTCAGACTTATTCGAGATACCGATTACATTGTTTTTCATAGTAAAAATCTTACCATCGTTGAAAAAGTGAGTTTTTAGTGAGAAATAATAAGAGGAACAGTTTACAATTACTACCCATACGTCAGATTGATTTTTAACTTTATTTTTATCGAAAAGCGAGTTGTGAATGCTGAAAATCACGATAAGATTTACGAAGTGTCCAGGATGTTGGAATACTCTGCTGGCCAACAAATACTATTGGAGTTCGAAGAAACATTATCCGCCGATCGCAATTATACGCTGATTATAAAGTATGCGACACGGTTGAGCAGAGAGTTGGAAGGTTTTTACATAAGCAGTTACACAACGAGTAAAGGTGAAAGAAGGTGAGTCATTAACTGCAGCCTGCAGGGTAGACGGGCTATAGTATTGGCGCAAATACTATCAATAAAATCTAATATTTAGGGGTCGATTTTAATTTTGGGAGAGATCAAGTCTCATCCCTCATAAATTAATTGACGTCAATATAACTATACCTGTGAGTTGGTAGCAATAAACGTTCGTCAATAAAGTGAATAATAATTTTAGATACTTGGCAACGACTCATTTTGAACCGACGTACGCTCGTTCAGCATTTCCGTGCTTCGACGAACCCCAGTTTAAAGCTAAATTTCGTATGTCAATCTTAAGAAATAGATTCCACATAGCTCTGTTCAACATGCCGATTAAAGAGTCCGTGGACGACGGGCTATACATGGGAGTTGGACTGGTAGGGATATAATCGATTATTTTCTTAAATATACTCATTACGTATAAAGAATAATAGGTAATAATAATTATCATGGTTTTTAGATGCGTGACGACTTTGAAGAATCTGTAGAGATGAGTACTTACCTTGTGGCATTTGTTGTTTGTGATTATCAATACGTACACGCGCAAACATTACAAGGAGTAGCTGTACGAGTATATGCTCCACCTGAATTGTTATCCCAGACTTCGTTCGCCCTAAGCACTGCCACTAAAGTCATGGACCATTATTCGGATTTCTTTGGAGTACCGTATCCACTACCGAAACAAGGTATAATATTATAATAATAATCGTACATCCCAATATATAATATAACTTACTATTTATAGACTTGATTGCCATACCGGATTTTGGTGCCGGAGCAATGGAAAATTGGGGTTTGATCACATATAGAGAAACTTCTATACTATATGACGAAAAAGAAACTTCTGCGGCTGCGCATCAGTGGGTGGCTGTGGTGGTAGCCCACGAATTAGCACATCAATGGTTCGGCAACTTGGTGACGATGTGTTGGTGGAACGACTTATGGCTGAACGAAGGATTCGCCAGTTTTTTGGAATACCGTGGAGTTGACCATGTGATGCCTGGATGGTCGATGATGGCTCAGTTCGTGTTGGACAAGACCCAGCAAGGATTGAAACTTGACGCGTTATCCACCTCGCATCCGATCAGTGTTAGTGTACACGATCCGGTAGAAATCGAGGCCATATTCGACTCCATATCTTACAGCAAAGTAATGCACATTAATTTAATAGAATATATTTTATATTTTTTTAAATACCTAGTATTTTAATTTTAAAATTCGTTGTACAGGGAGCAGCGATTTTATACATGTTAGAAAAATTCCTTGGACTAGAAACCTTACGAAGCGGACTAAATGATTACTTGAATATACATAAATACGGAAATGCTGATACTACAGACCTGTGGAGCGTACTAAGCCAACATGCTAAAAATACTGTACAAGTCAGAGTAAGCGAATCATATTAGACGACTAGGGGTAGTCACCCAATTCCAATCCGTTTATAATGATTTCGTTTTTAGTACATAATGGACACTTGGACATGTCAGATGGGTTTCCCCCTGATCAAAATAAGCAGAGAAAATAGTTCGTCTTCAAACAATGCAGTCTCGTTCACGGCAATGCAAAGTCGATTCCTTTTGACCTCACAAATCGTCAGTAAGGTGAAAAATCGTGCCACACCATCTCAGTATGACTACAAGTGGTACGTACCATTGAGCTTTTACACGGACATTACAAGTTATCGTGAACAAGAAGTAGTCTGGATGAACATGACTGATGGTGAGTTATAAATTACCTATGTATACATATTTTAATTATATATATATATTATATACTACATAGTACATAGTGCATACCTTGACACCTAGTAGTGTTTGATGTACCTACCTTTATAATATTTAATAACTCGAGGTACCTACCTATTACTTAGCTCGTATAATTATATACCTATCTGTTGAGACATGGAAAACATAGCAGAGTAATAAGTGCAAATAACTAATTAACAAATGTAAATATAACAATTTTGAAAAATCAGTAAATTTAAATAAGACATTATAATTTAAAGATTTTTCTACGTCAACGCATATTTTTTTTTTAAAGTATTCGATAGACAAATTTTTAAGTCAACAAAAAAAAAATATAATTTTTACTTCTATGATTAATAAAAACATCGGCCCTATCAATGAGTAAATTAATAACCAAGACAATAGCGTGAATCTACAGTTTTTAATTTACATTTTTTTTTTCACTTAATTTTATAATTAATATTATTATATTAAATAAATTGCCCGGTACCCAATCATTCATCTATTTTGGTTTTGAGGTAATTAGGTACCTACCTCAAAATTCCACTGAATTGAGGTATCTATTTTTGAGTTCACATCCAAATATAAACTTCCTATGATGTTTTATTTATGTTTTATTCTCATGTAAATATTAAAATATATTGTGTTTGAAAATAAATAAACTAAAATGTTTTCATTAAAAAAAAAAAAAAAAAAAGATTATTTCCACTTTTTAATGCGTATAATTACATTTTTAAGAACATATCTTACCAGTTTTTAACGGTGGAAATTATGAATCTCGAATTAATAACATAATTGTATTTTTAATAACAGTGAGATTCGAGGTTGATCCAAAGGTACGATGGTTGAAAGCCAACGTCAATCAGTCCGGATTTTATCGTGTAAATTACGATGATGGGTTGTGGAACGAAATAATTGGACAACTTCAATTAAACCATGAGGTGTTCAGTGCAGCAGACAGGGCTTCTTTGATAGACGATATTTTCACTTTATGTCGAGCAGGAATACTCAACGTCACTGTTCCTTTGGAACTCTCTAAATATTTGTATAAAGAAAGAGATTTCGTTCCATGGGCAACAGCTCTTGAACATTTTGAAAACTGGAGCAAGATTTTATCAGAATCATCTCCATATAAACTGTTTTTGGAATATACGAAGAGTCTTCTTGGTCCCGTAGCTCGATCCGTAGGATGGGACGACCAAGGAACTCATTTGGAAAAGTATGTATCTATGATTATTTGTTATGGGTATATATATATAAGTTCGCAACTTAAGTTACTCAGCTCATAATCAAAAAAAAATTTGTTATGGAAAGTATTTTTAAGCTAAAACTAAAATTTACAATTAATGTATACTAAATTTAATTTTTATATTGTGTTGTATTTTTTAATATACATAAATATATAAATGTAACACAAAATTTTAGAAGATTGATTATTATTAATAAGTCATAGTTCATACTTCATAGATAATACATTATGATAACTTGTAGCCTAATAAATAGTAATTCAAAAATCTAATAAATTAATTTTTTAGGAATTTAAATAAAATTATTTAGAACTATGAATGTTTATAGTTATGTTATTCTATGATATTTTACATATTTTGTAGCTTTAGGTATCAAAACTTCAAACTTGATATTTAAATTCTAGGTTTTTACAGATTCATTTCTTAACTCAAGAAAGGTTCAAAATTATTACATTGTTTTTAAGTGACATTTTTCAATTATATTTTAAATATTATTTATTACTAGATAAAGATGATAAATTAAACCAAACTTTTGTTTTATAAATATTAAAAAATTATCATTGCATTCAACCTGTATAAGTATTAAAAAAAAAAAAAGAATAAAAATAATGAAATATAGCTTACATAGAAATATTTTGTAAGATTCAAATTTAAAAAATATGAATAAGAAAACAAATTATTGATGGGGAACTACTTAGTACTTTACTATCAATAGGTACATTATAATTTTATATCATGGTTAAATTTATTCAGTCAAACATACTTATTTTTGAAGTGTAGTAATAGTACTGCTATTAATCAGTAGTTCATATTTTTAGTCACTAGAAAAGTAGAAAATTAGTTTATATAATTTAATATTTTATACCTGAAATTTTTAGATTAATGCGATCACAAATTTTATCTGCGGCTATCATATATGGAATTGAAGATGTGGTAAAAGAAGCAAAAAGTAGATTTGAAGAATGGATGTATGAAAACAAACGTATACCACCAAATTTAAGAGAAGTAATTTACTTGGCAGGTAATAGCAGTAATTTATATTATTTTTTTTTTATATTTAGTATTAAAAATATTTACTAATAGGTATCATATACGGAGACGTTAAAGAATGGAATTTTTGCTGGGATAAATACAATCAAAGTCGTATTCCAAGTGAACGTCAATTACTCCTTACAGTACTTGGTGCTTCTAATGATCCTTGGTTACTTCAAAAGTAATATGTCTAATACTTAAAATTAAAATGTTCATTATCTTTTTAATTTCATTTTTAGACTTTTATTGACCACATTGGATAGCTCAAAAGTTAAAGCACAGGATGTAAAAATGGTTTTTGGCGTGGTGGCTTCACAAGGATCACAGGGTCAACTGCTGGCATGGCGTCATCTGAAAGCTAACTGGGACAATCTTCAAACACTTTTTGGAAATGGAACTTTTACATTGGGAGGCCTAATTACAGCAGTTACATCTCATTTTGCAACTGAATACGATTTTAAAGAAGTATCTGATTTCTTCCGTTACATAGATGTAGGTTCAGGAACTAGAGCTTTGGAACAAAGTTTGGAAATGATACAACTCAATGTACATTGGGTTAAAAATAATGAGGCCCAAATATATGATTGGCTGGTGAAAAATTCAAAATCAAAGAATAACAAAAACTGAAAAAAATATTACAGTGTAACATAGTGTGTATTTTTAAAGTAATAAATCAAGCAAATATGTAAGACTGATAAGATAAAAATGAGAATTTAGGAAATAAATTTGAAATTAATCATTTCAAATTTATTTTTTTAATTTGAAGGAGTAGAATATTTTGAGTATGAAAATGAAATATAAATATAATTCTTAATTTAATAAATAAATTTAAATTTGCTTTTCTAGCCAATAGTAGTAAATTTAATTTAACCTTTTTCAATGTCGGCCAATATGTTAATATTGAATATGCTTTTAAACTGTAATTGTTTAATTTATAAAAATTAATTCTTTTTGTATGTAAAATTAAATATTCATTTTGAGTACTAAACTTCAGAGTTTTTGAAACTGAAAATCTTATACAATTATTGATAATCAGTTTGTGTTTACAGGGTTAATACGTATGAATAATATGCATTTCTACGTATTTAACCTTAATATTAGTATTTTTACTAGATCTTTAATTGCCAAAAAACTAATTTGCTAATAAATCCATTTAAAAACACATTTGCTTTGTTTTAATTATATTTTTATATTATAAATTATAGAATATTAATCAATAAGATGAAACAATTTTATAAATATTTATCATAACAATAATAATATCCCTTTTATTTATTTTTGATTCATGTTTATACTTCAAAACAAAATATTATTAATTACAAACAATGAATATGGTAACAACACATTTTTAAATACATAAAGAAATAATGTAAGACTATTTAATAACTTAAAAAGAGAATATTGCAGTAAAAATAATGATGGAGGATACTTTTTGAAAATGATGATCATATTTTGTGATATTATTGAGTACCTGAGAAATTGAATTCACTTAAATAATTTTATAACAAATAATTACATAAAAACTGAATAATAACTCACTAAAGTGCTTATTCCAGGTATCCATTGCCAGGTCACTAATATAATTGCTTGTGTCTGTGATTAATATTTTTAAGGTCGTTTTGATTTTATCATTTAATATATCATCCTTACTGTGGTATAATAATACACTAAATAAAATTATGTTTCATAAATATTGAATTAATTATGAATATAATCATACTCAGAAAATGAGGTCATCATCACATTTAATGTTTTGACTAAAGCATAGCGAACATTTGGATTTTCGTCAAATTGATGGTACACGACATGAGGAAATAGCTTGTTTAACATCAATTGATCACAGATTTCAAAAAAATTCTAATTCAAGTAATTCAAGGTTTTTGTAACTTTACTATTAAGAACCCATCAAATAAGTTAGTTTTTGAGATCAAAAGAATATTTAATAGCTAACATCTAATCATAGAACATTGGCTTATTAAGTATCCAACAAATCATTATTTCACTGCATTCTCTTTTATATTAATGTTTAGTGTTCTAAATTGTATACACATTATTGTTGCACATACTTTAGCAAATGATAAAAAAGCCATTTTATTGTAGGTATTTCTCGAGTAAGATAGTTTTATAAGGTATGGCACTATATATGTTTGAGCCCAGTCCATTCCAAATTCACCAACTAGTAGTTTAAACACATCCATGGCGGTTTGTTGAACAGTTGGTTCTATAAAATGTTAAATACTTTACTTAACTCCTACTTAGTCTCATACAAATATTTAACTCTTTTATACAAAAGTTATTGATTCAATGATTAAAAAATAGAAATAAATAATATTTACTCGTGTCAGTTAATAGTATTAAAAATGATTTTTCTAAATAATCTTCAAAAAATTTGAGACCTTTTTGAATTGCCAATATATATAAATAAATTGCACCAGTATTTCGCATTTTCCATGAATCATTTATAATAAATGCTTTCAAACAGCATATTAATCGATCTTCTGGCAGTACTATCAAATTCTAAATATATAAATAAAAATTTTAATAATAAAAATAAACAGGGTGAACCAATGAGCTTTATTTAAAAAAATTTCTAGTTGAAAAAAAATACACTATCTAGATAATTAATTTTAAAAGTAAATACGTTATTATAATATCAAAGGCTTTTCTTTGCCAAAAAATCAAGTAATGCTTTTCTTTATAAATATGTATAATAAATTATTTTTATAAATAAATGTTCACTTAAGCTATATTTTCTCTTAATGCAATGTACAATTTGATTAACTTTGATTTTATTATAGTAATATTATTAAATTACCTGTTTATAGTTTATTATTGATAAGTATTAAAATTTAGAGTAGGTATTAACGTACCTAATACAATGAAATATTTAGATAACAATGTGCAGAGAAAAAATATGTCTTAAAAATAAAGTACTCATGTTAGGTAAAATAAGTATTAAAAATAAAATATGCTTACTAAATATAATTAATAACTAAATATAATTAATACCACATTACATTTTTAAATACACTATATTTATATTATTATATTTACATTGTACTGTGATCCTAAAATATCCTTCATATATTTCACAACATTAAATATTACATCAACATTTTTGTCTTTAAGTAATTTGTTTACCAAGTCCACAAAATAATCTTTAATTCTGTAATATAGGTATACATAGTTTGTCAACCAGTGGTAACTTGCACGTTTTAAAGAATTACTTGTACATAATTTTAATATATTGAATTATTAAAAGTATAATATTGCTTACATGCATTTGACATATTATATACATGAGCCAGCCACTCATTGTTATACATTTTAGTTATAGATAAATATAATTTACTGGGCGTTTCAAGAAATGATTTTGATCTTTGGTGGTTTAAATCCAAAAATTATTATTTATTGTTTCTTATTATTGTATAAGTAATTGTTTATGTTTTAACTGTTTAAATGTTAATGGATTTAATTTTAAATATTTGTTTACATTGACGTGTTATACATAACATCATTTCAAAATAAAGTAAGATGGCATTTTTAATTTTTTATTTTTCAACAATCAATAATTTGGCACGCCCATGATAATTAATTAATAATAACAGGGTTAAAATATTTTATAAATTTCTATACATTATGTAACTTACACTACACTAGGCATTATTTTTCCAAATTTTGCCAAAACTGCTGGTACCTCCAATTTACATTTAACATCAGAATCATGACTTAAATTGTATAATGTTGGAATTAAAAATTTAGTTACTAATTTAGTAGCTTCTAAGTAAGTCAAATTTTCATAAAGAATAACAGTACAATCATAAAGAACACTGACAGACTGCAATCGGACTTCTATTTTTTGATCTTTGGCTAATGAAATGAGTATTTTCATTATATTTTCAGTAAGCTTTAAGCAACTTACACCAATTGTAAGCAACTATTTAAAAATTAATTATTAAACACTTAAAGTAAATATTAATTAAAATTTAATATGATACCTTTGCAATATTCTTGATGAGTATTGAACGTACTCTACATGAAGGGTCATTTATTGAATTCAACACAATAGGAAGAATTATCTGTTTATTGTAAGATATATCAAATTTGTTTGAAATTGTTATTGCTGTTGATAAAGCCAAAATTCTAACGTGCTCCTGTATAAAATAATATATTAATTTAAATTTTTATAAATTTTATAAAATTACATTTTGGTCAAAACTAAATTGTTCCAAACGTGGTGTTAATTTACTGTCAAAAATTGACATGTGGACAACCTCGCTGAAATCAACTAAATTATTAGCTGCATTTTGACGAACAGAAGGTAACGAATCTAAACTTAAGAAACAATGATAGTCAATCAAGTCACCTATAGTAAAACAATTGTAATATTAAAAAATATACAGCAAATATTAAATACTAGACATTTACTTTGATGTTTCGGACTGACGCGCATATAAACTGAAGTGAAAAGATGACTAACAGACAAACGTTTTGCACTTCTATCATTCATTGTTAAACTAGCAATAAAAGGTATAAAATAGTTCTCCAAATCAATTACTTCCATAATATCAGCTAATGTTTGCAATGATTTTATGGCGGCCATTCTAACATCACTAAGTTTAGAACCAGCTAATTCTTCTAGAGGAAGCTAAAAAGTGGATAACAATTTTATTTGGGATTGTTTTCATTAAATATGATTGATAGATTCTAGTACCTATAATATAATATTATATTTTATAATATCTTATAGAAAATTTTTGTAAATGAAATATTTAAAAGATGTGAAAACTGAGTACATTATATAGTAATTTATTACAGTTTTCAAATATTTCATCTAAATAAAATCAAACATCCTTGTAAAATAGTATTTAAAATATAGATAGATCAATAGATGATAAATTATTACAAGGTAGTTAAATACATTGTACCTTAAAAATTGTACAGATAAATCAATAAACCTAGAAGAGAGCAATGGTGAAATGTTAAAAGATCATTGGAGATAATGAGACGTCTATATTATAACATTAAATTATCGTTGTGCTTTTAGACATGTCTAATCATACCACTCTCACCGTAAATATTTTTGTTTTATTTTATTTTTAAGTAATAATTAATAATTATTCATTTATCGACGGCTATAAGCTTGTTAGTTTTTAATTTACAGTTTGATTATTTTTAATTTGATAGGTATTGCCTAAATAGGAAGTGGCGCAATCAGGATTTATTCATGGGGGGGAGGGGAATTAAAAAAATTTATTTATCCATTGATTTTTTTGTTCTTTTCCTTAAATAATACTTACATTTAATGCTTAATAAACAAAATTATATTATTTAATATACATATTTTTAAAATTTTTAAATTTATATTTACCATGTAAGTATGTCAATTGATTATTATTATTATTATGCCAGTATAGTCATTACTTCATTAGACATTAGTCTTAATATTGATTTCATTTATACATCGAATTCGACGTATTATTAATTATTAACAAAATACCAAATCTAATAATCAATTTAATCAAAAAAAAATGATGTAAATTTTAGGTTAACTTTAAAAAATAAAAATAAATACTATAAAATAAGCCAAGGGGGGGAGGTACGGACCCTGAGTTCACCACTGATACTTAGGTATCAAAAATATATTATGTCTGATTTATTTTTTTATTCACCGTCTCCTTGATCTAAAACTTCACGCCTTGTCACCGGAAATGGTTCGGCTACATTATTTTCTATGTATATATATTATATACATACTTACTTTATAATAGTACCTACATATCTTACCAGTAAAATGTGAGTATATTTTGGTCCTCCCACATAATTTTCAAATTCACCAAGAATTTCAGCTAAATTTTTCAATCCTGATAATTTTTCAGCAATAATGAGATGAGTAAGGTATGGTACTAAGTGTTTACGAGTATTTTCCGCACCGAGTTTTAAAGCGACATCCCGTAAGAAATTCATTGATTCCAAACGATTCTATTGGTTCATATAATAAAAAAATACGTTGTTAATAAATTTAATTATAATATAGTGGCGAATCTGATTCATATTGCTGTTCATAATTTAATACCTGTATAATAAATATACTAAAGTATTTACGACAAGTTAATATTACACAAATAAATTATGAATAATAAACTAAATATTTAAGAAGACATTTAGATACATCAGTAATTTTTAGCGGCAAAATACGTCCACGAAAAACGAAACAGAATTAAAAAGTTATTTTAAAATAACAATATTTGTTACTAAATTTGTAGACGACAATAATTAGAAAACAACCTCATCACTTTATCAGTATTTTTTGAAATATTAATTGTTTAAAAAGCTACAGTTATTTAAAAATAAAGATCTTTACTCTTTGTAACTTAATACTTATTGAAAATACTTTAGTATTTTGTAGGTATTAATTAGATAGGTATACCTCATACTCAAAGGCGCCCATATGGCAGGGGGGCAAGGGAGGGACATGTCCCCCTTGGGAAATATTGAAAATGTTGAAAAATTGTTTACATAAGATCTACAATAAGTGAAGATTGACTTGATGGATTATGCATGATAAGCGTACATAGGGAAAAAATTGATGATAAAACGAATGAATACATAGAACAAGTAATAATTATATTTGGTGTTAAAAAAAAAATTTACAATTTTTATTTGTAAATTAATATTTTTAATCAAATGAAAATTCAATAAATAACTTTTATGGTTAATTGGTTAAATAATTATTATTTCATAATCTTCCAGTTTGATATATAAAATACGTATAATATTATAATGTTAAATTGTAAACCCCTTCCTATCTCATGGACATAATTAAAATTTTGCCCCCCCTTGAAAATTTTTTTATGGGCGCCCTTGTTTAAACTACTATTATAGAGCTCCATTGATTATAATTTATAAATACTAGTATTTATAGATCAAAATTTTAAAATTTTTAAGTAAAATAACAACTAACATTTCAACTTTTTTTTCTATACAGAAGAGTACAATAAGTAAATTGGATAATGTAGTAATAATAAAGACGACTTGGTTCATGGTTGGCTTGAGTGGGAAAACCGTCCATCAACAATAGGTACCTCATTACTTTCTGATTAATTTGGTGGGTTCATATGAAGAGACTATTTTTAAAATTTTTTTTTCTATTAAGCTCTTTAATTTTAAAACAGAAATAAGCAAGTAACACAACTTAATGATAATGTCAAAATTATAATCGATTTCGACGGTTTTTTTGAAACCAAATATCAGTTATATATCAATATATCGTTATATATTAATTAAATACCTAACTGAAATTATTTAAAATTTTAGAATTAAATAATTTTTTTCCCGAGTAGGTTGAGATTAATAATTAATATTAATTAAAATTAAATTTAAATATTTATTTCCTGTTATAATAGTTTTATTTATTATTTATTTTTTTTTTTTATAGAAAAAATGGCAAAATGATGTTTTCTATTAACAAATAAACGTAGGCACCACGAGAGGATGCAAGGTGATGCACCTACATTCCTTCCGGCTTTTCAAAAATAAATAAATAAATAAATAAATAAATAAATAATGGCAGTGAAAATATTTTATTTTACTTAATGTAAAATACCTGAAAAATATCTTGGCAATGCTTATGTAAGTATAGGTATAAAATAATATTTCCGTCAAAATAAAATGTTTCAACTGACAGAAACTTACCGCAAGGCGATCACAGTTAATAGTAGTTTCGATAAATAAGCGATCGTGCAAATGACCATCGTTTAACGCAAAATGGTTATCGCCGCGGCAGGTTTCGAACGTTTCTTGTTCAGTTGATTCAGGCGATTCAGCCATAGTAAACAGTAACCACTTGCCTCTGTAGACAGATTGAAAAACGATTGAAAGTATAGACTATTTTTATTTTTTACTTTGATAATAAAATATCGATTATAGAATTATGAATATGTAATACAAACCGAGTAAAATAAAACAATAGGTACCTATTGACGATATTACCGACTAGGTACCAAATACCAATGTTTTAAAACGAATATTATTTATTAATCATTGTAGTGACTAGATATAAATCACGATTAATTAGGTAACTATTTATTTAATCATGGTACAAATAACAAATTAAAAATGCTAAACTGTGGTTATAGGAACGTATTGAAATGTCATTCATTTGATGCATAAGATGCATTAAACTCTACACGTAAAGTCATCGATGACCTATAATGCAATTTCTTCCATAGATATTTCCACTTATTAACAACCATCAATCATTATTCATCAAAGATTCAAAGATGTAGGTATATAAAACATTAAACAATATATTACGCTTTCAGTCATAATAAGTTATAATTTATAACTAGTAAGTATTGTATAGTAAATTATAAAAATTAAATTTTATATTATAATTATAATTGATTAAAATGATTCAATATTATTCTATTATTTTCAGAAATTTTTTTAACAATGCTTTCTCATTAACAATAATCATTGTGATGATTAATGATAATCAAGTTTTGTTCAAATTTGGTTGAACTAATTTTTCAATGTTATTGTCACTTGTAGGTAAATATGTTTTAATAGTCAACATAAATTTGAATAAACAGTTTTAAATTTAATACATAGTATATATTATTTTATTACCTTAGTCATTTTTACAACAAGTAGATAGGTACTTATAAAATATCAAAACAATTTTTTTGCCATAAAACATTACTTTTTACAAAAAACACTGGGGTGGTTAATATAATAATTAGTGACATAGGTGATAGGTATCCCACCATCTTTTACTAGAACGATGATTTTTAGTTAGGCTATTGAAACAAATATTAATATTATATTATAGTTAAAATAAAAATATGTAAAAGCTGGAAATTTATTAAAATTGTAGTGGGACCTTAATTCCTTATATTTGACTAAGTTTTAAAATTAGTAATCTAACCAAACTATGAAAAATAAATCTTTTATGCGTTTTTCAAAACTTTGGGTTCTAGAAGTTAGAAATATATTAACTTTTTCAATAAGACTTTAAAAATATTAAAAAAAAATGTATGTCATACTTATTTTTAAGGAATTATCATCCAATTTATCTTGAATTGAAAAACCAGTTTTTTTTCTAACGCAATTGTACTATAAACGTACAAAATAAATAGTTTAATTAAATGTTGGATTTAGTACTTACCTTTTTTGAGTAATGGTGTTATTACTGAAATTTTAATGCTCACCAGAATTGAGAATAGTAAACATGACAATTTTAAAGATGTATGATAATGATAAAGATTCAATTAATAGAAGTATATTTAAATTTGAGAATTTTTACTGTAATTCTATTCATTCTAGGAAGTCATCTTTTAAGGCTTTTATTATTTCTTGGCCATCAATTATGCTAAATGTATTAAATGAAATATTTTTGGTGATAGTGGTTGTAAAGTTATTCAATAGATATTTGTATTGTCTATGGTATGTATTGTTTTATTTGGTTATACATGTTTAGTGCTGCTGTTGCATTCATAAAACATTTTAAGATTTTTTTAAACATTTTTAATATTTTTTTTAAGCAATTTGATATTTCTTTTAATTTGTTTTGTTTTGTGTAGCTTATTACCAAATATATTAATAATAATTAGAATAGAAAATTGTTTATAGTTTCTTCAATAATTTTGAGTTCTTTCCAGTTCATATTAATAATGTTTATTAAGTTTAGCTTCTTTTATTGTATTAATTAAGGTATTCTTATATTTAAAGTAGTATTGTTCAAGTTTTTAAATTAATGAATGTTTCTTTAAAGTGAAGTGTATGTCTACAATGAATTGATAAAATAATTGCTGTGTTGTCCATTTTCTTAGCCTTTGATAATGCTTTTATTTTTTAAGAATAGTTTTTCTTTATTTAAAATGTCTATCAATTTTTTGTTGCAAAATGTACATTAGAATTGTTAAATGTTGATGACTAATAATAGTTCTTTAATGATATATGTTTAATATGGAATATTAGAATATACAATTAAATAATTTGAGATTCATAAATACATCAAATATTAATTACAGAAATTATCAATAGCAAGCATAGATTTAGAAGTTAGGTACAGTAACCCTCTACACAAAAAAAGAAAAAAATGGTGAAAATGAATATGTTATTACATATTTCTAAATATCAGATATATTATGTCAAAAAAATATTGGTTTTTTGGTTAATTCTATGTTTAAAGCTTCCTTAGATGATTAAATATTCTAAATCCATGCTTGCATTAAAATACATGTAAATATTTATCATATTTATATTTTACACTGGGTACTAAATACAATTTTAGAAAGATTACAATTGATATGAAACGTTCATAAATAATTTTGAATTGGTCAGATTTGTTTAATAAGCTTTTAAACTAAAATAAGTATATATTTACTTTAGAATATTATTTTGTTGTTTTGCATTCATAATTTTATTTAATTAAACAAATGTATTCTCTTATTTTCAACTCATTATAATTTCTTAAGCAAGTAACACATTTTCAAATCAACATTTTAAAGTATTAATTTATACTTTATTTAACTTTCACCAATCTACATATTTACGGCAATACTCTAAACATTCTAAATGTTCATCTCTCGCAGCAGCTGTACAAGTAGAACAAGTCATAATACAACCATGTTTATGGGCATAGATAAGACATGATAAATGACCACCAGCTGCAGCTTTGGTGCACACATTTCTTCCCCATTCGCATCCAATTTTACGGCAATATCTTAAACATTCCAAGTTTCCATATTTTGCAGGAATAGCACAGGTTAATCTTCCTATTTGACATCCTAATTTATACAAGTATTTCATGCAATCCACGTTTCCTCCTTTTGCAGCCTTTTCCAAAATATTTAATCCCAATGGACATCCATGTTTTTGTGCATATACTAGACATTTAAAATGTCCTCCAAGTGCAGCATTATTTGATGTTTCTTCGTCCCATCTGCATCTATTTCTATGTGCATATTTTAAACATTTCAAATATCCACCATATGCTGCGGCCGCACATGTTTTCGGGGTTAAGACACTTCCGTTCTTGTGTGCATATTTTAAACAATCATAGTAACCACCAGCTGCAGCTTTAGTACATGTCTTTACTCCCCACGGACATCCAATTTCATGAGCATACTTTAAACATTGTAGAAAACCACTTTCCGCTGCAGCAGAGCATGCAAGTATTGATAATTTACATCCAGTTTCATATAAGTACTTCATACACTCTAACTGTCCACTTTTAGCAGCATGTCTTAAAACGTTATTGCCATATGGACATCCGTGCTCATGAGCATATTTTAAACAATCGAGATGTCCATTATTCGCAGCTCTTTTGCATGTTCTATAGTTCCACTGAAATCCATTTTCATGAGCAAATTTTAAACAGTCCATATGTCCAACTCTCGCAGCTTCAAAACATGCCACCTTTTCGCTTTCATGATACACATGGAGATTAACTGAGTGATTTGGATCATATGGCAAAAATGAGTTTGTTTTAATGCTATAAAATATTTGGCGACAACAGTTTTGTATGTCGACTTCTGGTGCATTCTTAATTCTGTTGTACTCTTTTCTTTTGATGTCAATACAAGCATAATACGCCAATTTACTTAATGTAAATATAGTACGCTTATCACTATCATTAGAAAAACATACACGGTCCTATATAAAACAAAAACACAGTATTAAATAAATAGAATTTTAAAATGATAAAATATAAATAGTATTAATTACTTTAGGGTTTTCACTACGCATACATGGACAACTGAGGACATCCATTTTAAATTTTTAGATGTATCCTGTAAAAATACAAAATGGAATATATGTACAATAGTATGTAATGGCCAATGATAATATTAATTACAATTTACTATAAAAATGATTAGTGATATATGCAAATTGAATTATGAAAAATATTTTTAAAAAAACCCTTAAAATAGGTACCTATGTGTAGAGAAAATAAATTATTATTTAATATAAAATTGGTTAAAACCAGAAAGTATAAATTATAAATATTTATACTTTAAAGATTTGAAAAATCATGGTTAATTGTTAAAACTATCCCAAAAAGCAAAATTTAAAGAACAATGTCTCAGGAATTAAATTTTTTATCAGACTAAATAACTTGACCACCAATTTTCCTTACCCACTGTTGAGTGGTGTCCATTAAGGGCAGTTTTAATTGTATTTAATTATTATAAGTAAAAAATAACATCCTATACAAACTTTAAAAACAGTAGTTAGTTTTTAGACATTAGACTAACGAGTAATATTGATTAATTTATAACTAAATATGTAACTATATATTTTAAAAGTATAATTTTAATTTAAAATAATGTAAGCACCTTGATGTGGCTTAAAAAAAAATTATTAACTATTATCCAATAAATATTTAAACTATGTACCTATTTAAGATTTTAAAATAATAATTTTTTTTTTTTTTTTGAGAATTTGCGAAGAGAGAGTCCTCTTAAAATCAGTAGTAAAAAACTTACAAACTTAAAACGAACCAGACGACAAGCATTAATGAGTAGAGGCAATGGGTCTGCAAACCACACCAAGTATCATCGACAGAATGGAACAATACGTCCACATAAATTTACTAGTGCGGACTAGAATAAATCGTTTGGCCAAGTGATCTTGCAACGAAATTAAACTCGATTTTTGAAATCACACGCGTTATAGTATAGTAATAACTAATAAGTGTTTGAGCCACGGACTGATCGGAATGTCAAGTCGATGAAATAAATGAGCTAAAGGCGAGTGGCTTGTTACAAATAACAGCCATAGTGTGAACAGGCAATGTTCGATTGAAAAACATTTGGAAAATCACACAAATTGTAAATAATAATAAGATGAGATGAGCCTGACGCGTCGGCGCCAACGGCGCTTGGATCGTCAGAACTTGGAACTTTGGAAATTCAAAATGAGAAGCCCGTCAGTCGATACTCGATAGTATCTGCCGTCTAGGAGCAATCCAAAATCCAACCAATCCGTATACCGACTGGCGACTACCAACTATCACAGAGTCACATGAAAAATTGATAACATAATTTTGTGATACCAATTATTTATTTTATTTACTTTTATCATGTTTCGTCATTCTACATTTCCTGTCAACACTCAACAGGCTATACACTACATAGACGATAGCGGTGCTTCAGTGCAGCCATGTCGTCCAGAAAATGACCTGAAACCATGAAGGGAGAAGTGCTAATGCGGTATCGCTATCAGCATTCAGCAGTGGCTGTTTCAGTGTTAATGTGATAACGAGAGTCTGCACTTCCGCGGTACGACGTTCGAACCATGGCCAAGTACATAGTGCAAATAATAATTATTGGCTCTCAGATTGTCGGTAAGGCACTGACCAAAGCTCTTAAACAGGAATACGCCGCAAGCCAGGAATCTGCTCGTAGGGCTGGCGGAGGACGTGCGGGAGCAGCTCACGCCGCTGCCAATGCCAAGGCCGGCATCACATTAGAGGAAGCCAAACAGATATTGAACGTCCAAGGTACGTGCCTTCATTTATGAGTTTGTGTTCATCTCACGACATCTGATGTTCTGTTTTAAAATGAATTTATCCAATTATGAATGATCAAAAAATCTTTACTCAGTCATTCTTCTCTTTGCTATTAGTACACAAACGAATTAGTAATAAGTAATATGTATAGTGTATTACCTCATACATCAAACAAAAAATATTTTCTCAGCTGTCTTTCTTGGCAAGCATTTAATCATGTTTGGCACAAAGAGATTTTAACAAACTTATCTTCCTGTCTATCTATTCCACTGTAGTAACTCCTGCTACTAAAACTATTTCTTGTTCTTTTGTACAGTTGTGTGCACAAGGTGTGTGGCTGTATATATTGATAACTACTGGTAGTAGTATATTTGATAGTTAGAGTAAGAAGCTACTTTACTTTTATACTTTGCCTAAACTCCATATAATAATCCTCCACTCCTCCCCCTTTGTTTAATAAAACGATCCCAATAAACAATACAGTCAAGTTTAAGAAATTCTTCTAATAAATTTTAAAAAAGTTATAGATTTCTTTTATTTAGTATTCAAAAATAAGTAGAGGATAAAAATTGGTTTTTAATGTTAGCTAGTTTAAATATTAAAACAGACTAGTGTGAAGGAGCCATCCAATGTTGGGACTTCATGTTATTAAATTAATATTAGTTAATTTTCTATTTATTATTTAAATTTCATTAGTCTTTAACAAAATAAAAAATCATCTATAATGTCTGTGGTATTACTGATGAGATTATTTTTTAATTTTAGGTAATTTACCTATAAATAATCTTAATGCCAACCTCATTTATATAAGTATCACCAAATAAATACATAAAAAAAAATCTGGGTTTTCTTGTAAACTTTATATAATAATAAACATATTTAATTTTTAAATGTGCAATCAATTTTTTACCACCAAGAAATTATTTATTCATATTTACATTTATTTTTTAGATTTGACACCAGATGAAATCCAAAAAAGATATGAATATTTATTCAGAATAAATGACAAATCACAAGGTGGTTCATTTTACCTACAGTCTAAAATATACAGAGCTAAAGAACGACTAGATAAAGAAATTACCAATAAAAGTAGTGAAAAAGCGTAAATAATATAGAATAGGTAATTAATATATTATTTTATGTGTTAATAAGCATGTATATTGTTATAATAAAATAAAAATAATTATTTTTTAATTTAGATATTTAGTCAATTGTATCAAAATATATAATAAACTGCAAAACTGAAAATGTTAAAGTGTTTTTTTATATTATATTTGCAAGATGGTGTACAAAAGCATTTGTTATTGCTGTAGATATTACAATTGAGAATGTATTTGTGGTATAATATTGAACCTGACTTGGTTTATAAAATGAAACCTTACAGTATTTGGTGTTAAAACCAAATCATCATATAAAAAACAGGTTTTACATTTTAGATTCATGGGGTAAATTTAGGAAAAATGGTTGATTGTTAAATTTAACAGAGCATGATAATTTTATGTTGAGGGGGACAAAAGTTAGCGTTGTAATTTGATCATAGCTTATATAAAAACAAATCATGTACCTAATCTAAGTACTGTGATATTAACTAGTTATTATTATGTTCTGAAATATTTTATTAAAAACTGTTAAAAGAATAATTTATTGCATTTTTGAAGTTAATAACAAACAGATGTTTACTCCAATATTTAAAGTGGATAAATAGATAAGAACAGTTATTTGTGGGTGACTAAAAGCTATTTTAATTTAGTTGAAACAATACATTAATTAGTTCTAAAACAAATGAGCATAGTATTTTTTGTGATCTGTGAAGTAAGTTATTGATTTAACATTATTTTTGTATTAAAGTGTAAATAAAGATATTATTTGTTTTAAACTTTTATTAAAAAAATGAATTTGCCAATTTTACTTAAACTATTGTTTCATATATTTAATTTTAATATAAACTTATTCGTTATTTGTATTAAGTACATTTTTTGTAAAGAAAGTAATAAAGATGTTTTTTTTTTTTTTTTAAATAAACGAAGAAAAATGTATTTAAATTGAATGTTTATATTATAATGTGATTTCTAAATAAAAACAATTATAAAAATTTAATATTTTAATGTGTAATTAATAATGATAAAAACCCTATGACGCCTTCTGGCTTTTCAGCATATCTTAAACTTAGATATGTGAACAATTGATTAAAAATAAAAAATTTATACGCTTAATAAAACATAAATGGTTAATATCATAATATAATGGGTTCATTTGAACTGTGAAGTGTGATGAATATTTATAGGTTTGGTATTAAATCTAAGGAATAGTAAGTTATTTGTCACAGCAAGTCTAAAATTATTTGATTATTTAATCTATACAAATAGCAAATATTTAATAGTTTAGTCTCCACAAAATTGTAAATATTTATCTAGTGACACATCTTTGATAATATTATAGTTAATTCAATTTTTATTTAATTATTATTATATAATGGGCACAAGGCCCAAAGGTGCAATTACATTTTACTTATAATTAGACACAATATTTGACAACAGAAATTAACATAACACATATGAAATATAACATAATTATAGACTAAACAAGGTAAGGTGTATGTTGGCCAAACGTATCATTCAATTAATTGGATTATTCTCACTATAATATGATGGAAAAGAATTACAAAAGGATTGTGATCTAGAAAAACAAGTGAAACTCTAAAGTTAACTTGGGAGATTAAAGGAGCATCAATATAACCATTAATTAACTTAATCAAAAATACTAGGTTTATTGAGATACCAAGGAAATCAGTCCAAGAGTTTATTAGAAGCAAGAAAGTAATTATGCAGAGTATGCTTTATTTTTAAAATATTGTTGGTAGATGATAAGAAATGCCTCAGAACACTAAATGTGAGGAGTCAGTTGCTGTATACCAATTCCATAGAATGGATGCATATTCTAATAAGGATCATATAAGGGAACAATACATTTTTAATGAGGTTAGCTTTAAGTTCTTCGACATGCGAATATGAAGTCTTGTATGCTCTATAGCAGACTGACTGACTCTATACGAGTATGAAAATTAAGATCTGAACAGAAAATTACACCCAGATCTTTTTGGGTTGACCAAATAAATATATGTATCATTAATTGAATATGTATTTACTATAGGTGAATGACTCCTAGTGAAAGACATGGACTTACATTTATCAATATTAAATTATAATCCAATAGAATTAAACTTTACTTGAGTATTAAATTCATCTTGTAAGAGTTTAACAGTCAGCAAACAAATAAATTTTTTTATCATCCGTAAATAAATTATAATGAAGACAATTAATATTTAATTTCATAAATATTTCATTAGGTTTATTAACTCAATCTTGTACTTAAATGTTTATTAAAATCAATTATTATAAATATGTAAGTACCTTTTTTTTGGGAGTGTATAATTTATATATTGTAGCCAAAAATATATGAGAAGGCAAACAAAAACCAAAAATTTAAGTAAATAATAATAGTCATAAATATGGACATTATTTAATGATATAATATTTTCTATTAAAAGTACAATTTTCTGTAATTTATACTTACGGCAGTAAAATCCATGTATAGATAGTTGATTAAAAAAAAAACAACTTCATCTTCAATTTAAAAAATATCATTAGTCTTGTTTTTATCTTGAATTGATGGAAGTCAATTGACTTTTTTGATAAGTTTATTATTTAAATAAATAGCTATAAGTTAAAGATAGTTCTAAGAACTTAACTACTTTACCTATTTAATTACCTCTTTTTTTTAACAAAAATGTATACCAAATTAGTGAAAATTTTAAGTTATTTCAAACACAGTCTAGTTTTATTTTTAATTTTAGAAAATTAAAATAATAAACTTTAGATTTAAATGAAAATTATAACCTACCAATATTTATTGTAGTTAAAGATAAATAACAAACCTCCATAACAAAATATTTCATTTAAAAAATAAGGATATATTAAGGCATAAAAAAAAGAAAAACATTTTAAATTCTCCAGTAGGTCAGAATATTGTATTAGAAAATAAAAACATTTACAAAAACAGGTTACTTCTTTCCTGCAGCAGCAGCAGCCTTTTCATCTTCACGTGCGTATGCAGCCAAAAGGTCTTTCCTATTTTGTAAAAATCTTGCTTCCTTACGTTTTTTAGCTTCCTTAACTTTTTGACGTCTAGCTTCAGCTTGATCACTAGAATATTAAATAGTTGTAAATGAAATAATTATAATACATGCTTACTAATTGATTAAACTTGAGTAATTATTACAACTATAACAATACCTCAACATCTTGGCACGAGCTTTCTCAGCCTTCTTTTTGTGAATGAATTCCATCAATACACGCTTGTTCTTGAATACATTACCCTTTGCCTTCATGTATAACTGATGGTAAAGATGATTATCAATTTTCTTTGCTTCACGATATTTCTTCAGCAATCGTCTTAATACTCGCATTCTTTTCACCCAAAGGTCCTATTGAAATAGATATAGTAAAAATAATTTTGAATTCCTAAAAATAAGAAATATAATCCATACTTTTTGAGGTGTTCGAGCATTAGCAGTACCCTTTCTTTTACCAAAACCACAATGGCGACCTTTTCTTCTAGCTTCAGCATTTTTACGTGCACGAGCCCTAGAGTGTACAGCTACTGGCTTTTTAATGATCAAACCATCCTTGATCAACTTACGAATATTTTGTCCTGAAATTTATTTAATAAACATTAATAAATTATACTTTATACTTAAATATGTAATATAATTTTGATTTAAATTACTGACTGGAATTGGTATTGGCAATTTCATTAATTTCATTTGGATCCAACCATACCTTCTTCTTACCGCATCGCATTACCGAAGCGGCAAGTCTTTTTTGAAGCTTTAACGAACTGAAAAATTAAAAACACAATTTAATATAGGTATAAGTACTACTGAGATAAAAAATAATGTATTTTATAAAATTTAATGATTAATATGTTGAAGGGGTTTAAGTTAAGACATACATAAAAAAGTAACAGAAAAATCAAATTCAAGCCAAGTTGAATGCACGATCATGGAGCAATATAAGATATAATTGTTTTAGAATATACGTCGTTATAGATTTCCACGCCTTTACTCTTTGAACAGGTGGTAATTTTTATTGGCGAGGGTTTTTATAAGAACAAAGTTGTCATCCGTAGATCAAAAATGTCGAACCTTTAAGCGGTAAGTTAATGGAGGGTTCAGTTTGATTCTTCAACACGCCGTAGCCGCAAACCATAATAGTACAGTTCGGGAATGATATATAATCGCAGATCTAAGGAAATGTTCTGGGGTATCAACAGTAGGAAAATGGATGTGGTATGAAAAGCATCGTCTCACACATGTGACACGGATCTACGGGTCGGCTACAGCGATCGATGAACAATACAAGTCATCTGATTATCATGAATAATGAATAATTTGTTATGGAAACATTAATAACGAACTTACCTCATTTTTCTGGATTGACCCTAGCACAACGCGAAACGACGTAAAAAAACGCCAATCAAGAAATCAGGAACAGAGACTTCGAATAGTCTCTCCTCGTTCACAAGTGAAAGAAGAACGATCTATGTATGTGTTTATAACCTCAAACAACATGGAGGAATGACACGAGCCAATGAGGATGATGTTCTGTGAGCAGCCGACACTCTCTTCCATGATACAACTATAGAATAGTTGTCACTATTGTGGATTTTTATTCTTTAACCTATCTTTTTAGAACGCCGCCGACCGCCGTACACTTTAAAATTCGTCAAGTTACGAATTTCGTCGTGTTTATATAATAATTAATTTCTACGATTTTCCACTGTCACCACACGTTTCGTGTCCTACAGACTTAAAAGTATGTTTTATTTATATTAATATTATATTTATTAATCACTCAATTTCGGCATTCGTTGTCATCGTCGTTCCGGATTGCGCGAAAGTCGTATCAGTCCGTTCTTCATCTTACATCTGTAGTTTTGTTGACGGGTCAGATACGAATATTACTCGTAAATGATGGTCGAGTTATCGACGTATTATTGTTAGGGTATGTTGTATGTGTGTCTGATTCATTGAATTCACTGGACACATTAAACAATTGGATTGTACAACACTCGTCTATTACTTGTGCCTTAAATGATTAGTTTTAAATGAGATATGTCACCACGATGATTGAAAAATGTGGATGTATATTCTACTGTCAGTTAGATGTATATTATAATCGTTGATCTTACATGATCTTAATGTTATTTGTTGGTAGGTTAACGCCTGTTTTGATGATGATGGTATTCCATAATTTTACTTTGGAAATGAATTATTCAGTCATATATTATTTAACACTTATTGGTACAACCTACCTATATTAATCTTAAATTAATAAGTAATATTTTTAGAATCCTATGTTCAATATTAAATGATTCACTTTAAATTAAACACATCTGTTGAAAGTGGTCTACTCGACGCCTAATGTATATCAGAGTAGTATTCACTTACCTACCTATTTTATTTAACTTTGTTAAAGATGTTTATATATATACATCCTTTAGATAATATAATAGCATATTTAGCAAATTTCTCCAATTGAATATTATCTGAAAGCAAATAAAAAAATTGTTTCATATTTAAAATATTATAATTTATGAATGTTCTTAATTGTTAATTATTATTATATTATAGAATGCGTTATGTGGCTGCATATCTGTTAGGTTCCTTGAGTGGAAAAGAACCATCTAGTGATGACATTGAAAAAATCCTAAGCTCTGTTGGTATTGAATCTGACTCTTCTAAAGTTAGTCTTATTCTCAAAGAGCTGAAAGGAAAGAATGTTGAAGAAGTTATTGAAAGTGGTAAATATTACTA